CTCATGCGGCCACTGGCGAAGCCGGTTATCTGGTTTAGTTTAGTGTTGACGGGAGGCCGTACATCTGCGCGCTATGCAAAAAGAAAGCTTCGAAAGGAACGCGAATATCTTTCCACCGGTAAGTTCGTGGATTGTTGAAGGTCATGAAACTGCTCTGATGATATAATTATATTTGTGAAATCGAAGGCAGTTGGTAACCACGTGTGGGACCCCGAGGGTCTGCCTCAAGGAGGTTATTATAAGTAGGGGTGTCGCGAACTTTTGTCGAACCAGCATTTTAGGTCGAACTTTCGGGGTTCGACTGAATCGAACCGGTTCGACGAACCTTCCAACTTTTCACCAGATTCGACCGGTTCGACTTTGTGGACAGTGTGGCCAGGCCTTGATACAAGCATGTCTAAGCTTAAAAAAAAAATTATGCAAAATATTTTTTTTTATTTTATAAACACTTGCAATTAAAAGGAACCAATTCTAATCACTGAAGAAGTTAATAACTTAATTTTTTGTACTGTATTAACTGAAATAACCAATCAGCGCTGCCCTTAATTCATTCCTTAGCCATCGCCATCCAATCCGAAGCCAACTGGTCAGCCTGTGGCGCATGCGCACACGAGTCGAACCTCAATACAAGGTTTGTCGAATTTTCCACTGAAAGTTCGAAAAAGTCGAACCTGGTCGAACTGGTCGACCTGGTCGACACCCCTAGTTATAAGCAGGGGTGCCGCGAACCGGCCGCGGTTCGAGTTCGACCAGGTTCGACTTTTTCGAACTTTTAGTGGAAAGTCCGACGAACCTTGTATCGAGGTTCGACTCGTGTGCGCATGCGCGTCAGGCTGGCTCGTTGGCTTCGGATTGGATGGGAATGGCTAAGAGCGCTGATTGGCTATTTCAGTTAATACAGTACTAAAAATTAAGTTATTAACTTCTTCAGTGATTAGATTTAGTTTCTTTTAATTGCAGCTGTTCACAAAATATAATAACCCTTTGCATAAAAAAAAAATTCTCCAAACCTAGACATGCTTGTATCAAGGGCTGGCCACACTGTCCACAAAGTCGAACCGGTCGAATCTGGCGAAAAGTTCGAAGGTTCGTCGAACCGGTTCGACCCAGTCGAACCCCGAAAGTACGACCAAAAAATCTGGTTCGACAAAAGTTCGCAACACCCCTAGTTATAAGTAGGGTGTGTACTTTCCGGTGTTTATTTGTGAGAAAAATCGGCGGATGTTTTTCGGTGTTTATTTATTTTCAAAACACCGGTGTATTTCGGTGGAACGTGTCACGACTAGGCTAAAATCGGTGATTATCGGTGGAAAAAAATTCTATTGATCACAGACAGTGTTCCAATTTTATTCACATATTTCATACATTTCTTCTCTAGGAAGCATCTATTTCTTACACTTGGTTATTACAGTGGATGCAAGCATACTTCGAGAGGCTTGCATCCGTCATGGCAGCACGTTCCTTGCAGTTCACAACCCGCAATTATGAAAGCGCACGCTCCTGTACGACACGGACGTTGGCAGTGTCTTCCAGGAACCACAACAACCTCTGAATACATGGCTTGCACCGACATAACTTGGCCAGACACAATGGGGAAAGGGCACGTGAGAGCCTACCCTCCACTGCGTTACGTTTTTCACAAAAGGGGGCCATGGGAGACACAATAGGGGAAAGGCGTGTGAGTGCTTAGCTTCCACTGCGTTAACAAGACGCTTTTGACCCCCAGAAAGGAGGGCGGATTGATGCCACGTGCAAGCCATGTATAAACACTGGAAGAATGCAGGATCCATGACATAACACGTTTGACGAATCTCTATGGGGAAAGGGTTTCGCTAAGTCGGAAACAGGCAACGACCGGTGTTTTTCGGTTTTAACCAGGGCGAAAATATCCAACCACCGGTGTTTTTCGGTTTTAACCGATTTCATATTTTCGTCACCGACGGATGTTTATCGGTGTTTTTCGGTTAAAACCGGAAAATACACACCCTAGTTATAAGTACTAGGAGGGGGCACGTTGCGATATTGGTGAAGCCTAGTCATAAAAAGTTTAAACGATTTTGTGCCCATTGTGACCGCAGATCTGGCGATTGGTGCGCGTGACATGTCACGTGCGAGATGGATGGTTGATTGTAGAATGACTCCTTGCAGGCTTGCGCGAGCTCCGTCCGGTAGGTTTTATCAGATCGAAGGCTAGACTGTGGTGTATTCTAGTACCCCATAGCAAGACGAAGGCTAGCTACGGTCACGTGATGTGGTCACGTTGGCATGGTAAGTGAGGAGAGTAAGGAGGAAAATGAGAAAGAGGCGAGGCGTCAAGGGAGCATGGCTTGTGGAGGCTACGCGGCCGACGTCATGCCCTCTCCTACGTACCCTTCTATCCTCCTTGGTCTGCCTGCATGCTCCGCCCACTCCGCCGCTTACGGCAGCCAGAATGCATGGGAAAATGGCGGACCTTTTCCTCTAGAGTTAGGATGTATGATCTCTATGGTCTTAAGAAACCGAATTTTGCGGTCGATTTAAAGAGCCCGGCCACTCCTCGATACACCCAGTAGTTCCAGAGTGCCAATTGAGCTTTGTAATAGATTCCCTTTTCTAATTGTGTTCTCCTCATGCTTTTCTAGATATTTCCTTCCCTCATTGAGCCAAACTCCCAGGTATTTGTATTTCCCAACATGGTCTATTAAAATGTCTTCCATCCTCAGGGGTTCCCTCTTTTCGTCGTTAAACACCATTACTCCAGACTTGGCACTACTAAAACTCATGACCAGTGTCCCCTTCCTCTCCACATATTCCAGCTACTAAGCTTCCTGTAATGTGTCCCGATTATCTGCCACGAGTACTATGTCGTCCACATGCATCAGCCCTGGTATTACCTGTATTACATTTCTCCCTCCTTGCATATATAACTCACATCAAAACCTAAGTTGCCCTGCTCTAATATATTTTCCATTTGACTGAGATGTATTATGAAGAGCAGAGGTGACAGTGGACAGCACTGCCTGAGGCCTGTTTTTATTGCTGTGGATTGTGTAGTTTCTGCTTCCCATGTTATAACTACCTTACTGTTTGCGTTCTTTCATACGGGTGCAACGTTTGCGGTTGGTCTCTCCAATATACAATGCGTCAAATTCTAGACAGTTTAATTTATACGCACCACCACACTGGGACTCTGGGGGGGGTTTTGTGTTTTGGTTTGGAAACGAAGTCACATAGATGAAGGTAAGGTTTGAAAGCTGTTTGAATGTTTAAAAGGACGAGAACCCTGCGAATAGACCCAGAAACGCTTTTAATATACGGAATTGTTACTTGCCCTGCTCCATCAGGATTTTTATCCCGACGTCTTCCTCGTCTTATCTGCTTACACAAGCTTTCAATAAAACGTTTAGGAAAATCCCGCTTCACCAGCGAGTAAACAATAACTGTATCTTCAGGAGCTTGTAGTTCCCGATTAGAAGAAATGTGCTCGGAACGATGTAGCACGGTTTTTCCGACTGCTCTTTTGTGCTCAACTGGATGATGAGAGTTGAAGTTCAAGAAGTTAGCTGTGTCACAAGCTTTATGGTACACATTTGTTCGAGTCCGGTGCCATTTCGGCATACATCAACATTTAGGAAAGGCCAGTCTGCCATTCAGTTCTACTTCACGTGTGAACGGGGTTGACGGTTCAACACTTTTCAAAGTCAAATCCACATAACGCCTATAAAACCTTACTGGGTGCACAGTCCACTGTAGAGCGGTTTCCTCCACATGCTCTGAAACCGGACTACCAATTGAACAACCTTACGAGACAACCCCCGCCCTGCCCCGCTCCTCAACCCGAATCCCAGTCTGTTGTGAATAAATTTAACCGTCTAGATTGCGACGCATCGTATATTGGAGAGACCGGCCGCAAACATTGCACCCGTATGAAACAACGCAAGTGTGACATGGCAAAAGCCACACATGCCACTAGGGCAAAGATGAAGCTGGGGGATCATTGTTGGACAACGGATAACAGTTTCGACTTTGAGAACGCTTTGATTTTGGTGCGCAAACAAAGGTGGGGTCCACAAAGGTAGTATGAATAGTGGTGCATCCGGTGCGATTCATCAGCTCGCCACCCCAACTGCGCCCTCCCCCCCCCCCTTCCTCAAGTGTTATGCAGACCTTCTTTAAATAAAAAATTGTATCCCTCATTATTGCCTCGGCTTCACTGATGATGTCTCCCAAACGGGAGACGAAAAGTCTGATTAAATTATTCCTTGTGTTATGTCAAGTCGGTGCAATTCATATCATCATAAAGAGAAAGTATCGACACGTTGCTTCCAACGCCAGGGGAGTCCCAGACCGGTGCGCCCAACTGGAGATGTGCCTGCCACGTACGCAATGTAGAGTTCCGACATCTCGGCCCTTTTACCAGCCCATCAATTTTTTCATGTTTTTGAAAACCCATACCCAGTGGGTGCATTACAGCTGCAGTTAACATCTTTGAAGTGTACAACCGTATTATCCATCCAAGTATATAACTTTTTACACTTTGATCACGACACAAGCACAGGCCCGTATTGTTTCACGGAAATTTATTTTGTGGACAAGCTCGTGCAACATTTTGCCGCTTTTCCTTTTACGAAGTGGAGTTGTGATATCCACTTTTAGGCTTTCTACGAGACCACGCTACAGACGGTCAACCCTCGCCCCGCTCCGTTCGGGCAAAATGAATTATGATCTCGGACGCGAGACTGTACCAAGCCTCATTGGAACCACTGTATCATCTGGATGTCGAATGTCGCAACAACGTGCACAGAAAGATACTTTCGACGAAACGCTGCAAGGTGTGTCGATGAAGCAAACACGGGAGCCTTTTGATGAGTTGAACTGTCGATGCAACGTCCCAGTGTCAACAAAACGATACGTTGATGAAACGTTCGACGAACTGATTGCCACCGGGGAGAGAAGGGTCACCGTCTCAGGGCCCCCTCGACTCCCCAGTGAACAGGAACAGAGACACAGCGAAAAAAAAAGATTCTGCCACACATTTTATTTGATTGCCAAGGGTGGTCGACCACCCGCCGTCCTCTCCCCGCACAGTACGGTAAACCGTTATTTTTTTTCTTCTTGTTTTGTACACATATAAACATGAGCTCCCCCCCGCCGCTCCCGGAGTCGTCGCCGTCACGCAGTACGAAGCGGCGAAGGATGTGGACACGTGCTTGCCACGCGCAATGGCACATCACAAAGCACGCATTCGGGACGAACGAGACACAAGAAAAAAGAAAAACGACAACATCTGGAGGGCAATGCGGTCTAGCACGTTCAAAAAGTGTGATGATTATCGAAGGAAGCCCTCACGGGAGCGGGTGGCACGGAATGGCATCTTTGTTTTAAGTAGCCGGGGCGTTGGTAGTGTACCGTTGGGAAGGTGCGCTTCACCGCGCGGCACCGCTGTTGCACCCTCACCACATTCAGAAGGCATCGAAGAGTGATCGCGTCAGCTCGCTTTAAAGACAGTCAGATGGTTCTAAACGAAATGCTACCCGAAAGCTGAGAGGCAGGCAAGTTGATGGAAGTTTAGTACCACGTACCTAACCACGAAAGGACAAATACGAAACCACAGAAGAAATTGGAGAAAAGACGAATCACATAGGCCCATGTGAACTGGCTTTATTTTGTCCTCAATCTTTTCCTGTTTCAATTTTTTTTCTGACATGTTTTATTAAGTTAGAATAAAGTCCCTGTTAGCCACATCGAACGTTCATTGATTGATGAAGTGGCAGCCTGCGCATTGCCTCGTGTCCCTGGAGGTAGCCTGGTAACGTCCCGAGCAAGTTCTCAAAGCCAGATCCGATAAATGTCGATAACTACTATTAGCGACGGCCTTTTGGGCAGTCAGAAGAGGCAAGGATCGAAGTCACACCTGCTACAGGTTCTGCGAGTCGACTTTCGTTTGCTAACCTTAGATCGGCCTGTACTTTGAACCGCAGTGGCATTAGAAAGATGCGGGGAGCAACAGAGCTTGCCAAACGCTGAAATGCATGTTCCCGACAGACAAGGCCGGAACAACTAACTTTGCACGTGTTCACTGCTGAAACATGTATTCGCTAACATTATCCGAAAGAAACAGTAGATGTACATTAAGAACCAGGAAATCGCCACATACATATGGTGTTTCCCTTTTTTTTTTTTGGTACACCCTTTGCAATAAGGTTGTATACAATAATGCAGCTTCTTCTTCTCTTTTTTTCTCCCTTTCTCGGTAAAATTTGAGTCGTCGTATAAAACATCTCATGTAAAAATGATTATTTAAACTTCTTTGGCTAGTTTTATTGCTTCTATAAGACAGCTAAACAAGAAAAAAAAAACGGTTTCAGTCAGAACGGACAGGTATTACTGAGTAAGTGAATATTTATACAGTGAAAAAGAGTAAATAAAAAAAAAAAAGAAGTCACGTGAACTGAAATGCAGGCGTAAATGTTGGTGACACCGAACAATAGCAGCGTTAAAAATAAAAAAGAATGAGTAAACGTTGAGCACACGGTTTGTCAGACTCCCTCCATCTTGTAAACGCTATCGTAAAAACATTTCACTTTGTGTCAGGGACGGGTGCGCCTTCTGGAGGAGACGGATACGGCCCTCCGTCGGACAGAACTTGCGCGTCTGTCACCTGACCCGAACCGCTGTCACGTGACGCCAAACCGAGACCAGTAGAAACCTCGTTTCGGAGGCGCGGGGAATGTCAACACTCGGCGCGACGCCGCTTGGAAAAACGCTCGCTGCGCGACGATGCTACGAGCACGAACGAAAACGAGACACGGCGTCGCGACAGATCTTTTGCATCCAAAATGGAATCGACGACGGTCACCACGTAGACACTCTGCAACCGGACGAAAAATCTAAGACGATGGCTGGTTATGATTGTGACATGCATAGGTCGTTAGTAGTACCAGGCGTTCGTGAAAAAAAGGATCCGTGTTTTTCGACCCGCGTATACAAACTATGCATCGCAGAAAGCTCGAACTCCGTGAGAACGTCACGCTAGCAGTTGGGACCGAACGCGATGTAGAGCATGACGTTACATGAATCAAAAGATAATCAAGAGGAACTTTCTTTAAGAGCCATCCCCCTAAGCCTAATATGGTCAAAACAAGAACCGAGATTGTAGACGCATGTGGCATTTATATCAGAAATAGCACTTGTTGGCAAGAAAGATAACATTGTTTTCTTTCTTGCTGAGAACCTTTTTCGCTGGAGTAGATGCTACGGGCGCCCACAATGTCGTTGTTTCTTGTTTCAACGATATTAGGCCTAAGTGGACGTCGGCTCGCAAAAGAAACTTCGTCTTCCTCTTTCATCTTTCGAACAACAAGTTCTCAAACTTCTGCGTTCTATCACGACCGCTAGCGTCACATTCTCGGGGAGTTTCAACTTCCTGCAATGTATAGATTATTTTCGTGGTCCGAAAGACACGGTTCCGTCTTTCTCACTAACGCCCAGTACTTAAAAAGATTGAGAGACGAAATGCGCTGCAATGAGGGGAAAACAAATAGTACAGTCATGACTCATGATGTAGTACCAACATCGTTAAGAAAGCGCGGCAGCGACAAGCTGTTGGCAAGAGTCCGAAGTCGCCCCCACAAATTTGCCAGCTGCCGAACGCACAATGGAGGGAACTAACGTCGGACCAATATTGGGATTAGGCTCCAGCAAATGGGATGACACCGAGGACTAATTTGAGACCAACTTACGTCCGAGACTGGCAGGGCGACGTTCAACTATGTAACAAAGACGGGGGACCGACATGAACCTTGGAACGACCTTGCACGTCTCGTATGCTACATAACTGACTCTTCCGTTCTTGTCGGAACCACTATGTGTGGAAGTAGACTGATATGTCACATGCAGGAGTGGCATCGCGTGATAAATGTCACGCAACGCGGGTCTTGTGTCGCTTTCCAGTTGTTGTGTGCCGCATGTAAATCCAGGTACAAGATGCCGGGTGAGAAAACAATGTTTTTCGTACACGGAAAATGAACTACGCATTGCAGAAAGCTCCGACCTTGTCAGAGTGGCACACCAGTGTGTTGGGATGAAATGTGCGAGCTTTAAAAACTTGCGGTTACGGAAGTGAAAAGCAGTAAGTGAAAGACTGTTTTGCCTATTGGAGGACACCATCAGACACCGAGAACACACGGAGTGCATTTCCCCTCCGCTGCATCACTCAGATGGCACTACTATTGGCGACACGCCGGGCCTCCGCGAGAAAACCGAACCCTGTTTTTCACACTGCAAAAATAAACTAGACATCGAGGAGAGCTCAAAGTTTGTCAGAATGCAGCCCCAGCCGTTCAAGCAAGATTCCAAAGTTTTAGCACCAACCGTTATCTTATTCAAATGTCATCAGCGATTTTCTGAAAATTTCAATAAAAATAATATGGCGGCTGATGGAGCTTCCGAATACGTGCTCTATGGCGCCAAGAACCGAAAATGAGTGAAAACGGGCCCTATTTTTCCATCGAAAATTTCAGAAAATCACTTCTAACTTTTGAATAAGATAACAGAGGGTGCTGAAACTTTGGCATCTTGCTCGAATGACTGGGGCCACGTTTTAACGGAGTTTGAGCTCTCCACGATGTCTAGTTTATCTTTGCGGTGCGAAAAACAGGGTTTAATTTTCTCGCGGAGGCCCGGTAGAGTAATTAGCAGGCATTAGGGCACTGTCTGCTCCTACGTTATGTCTGCCTGTTACCAAGAGCGGCACCATTTGAGAGATGCAGCAGAAAAAAGACAGAGCATACTACGTCTGCTTTTGCCGCCTTTCAGAGGCAGACGCAGTTGTTCTCTCTTTACTCTCGTAAGCGTTAAGTTTTGAAACTCCGGAATTTTAACCGAGCCACTGGAGCTAACGTTCTGGCAGACTCTAAGCTTTCTACAATACATAGTCTAATTTCGCAGGACAAAAACATAACACGGTTTGCTTTCGCCTCCCGACATCATGTACGTGGCACAGCAGTTCTTGCATGTACTACTATAGACCTAGCGCTTTAAATAAGGTTAAGGTGAGCTTATGGCCGACGAACACAAGAGCTGCTCGGCAGACGCAGGGCGGCATCGTTCCGGTGGTCGGAGTGGGGTGAGACGGGGGCAGCTTAAGCGTCGGGGCTGCCGAAAAACCAGTCGGTGAGCCTCTTGAGCTGCGCGCTGGCCGACTGCGACTGCTCGTGCAGACGGTGGTTCTCTTGGCGCAGCTGCCGCACCTGGTGCTCCAGGTTGGCCTTGTGATGCTGCTCCTGTGTTCACCACGCACACGGCACTTAAAACAAATTAGCAAGACCATCCAATCAATCTATTAATGGTTAAATCAATCAATTTGCCAGTCAATTACATAAAAGAATGAACCAATTAATGTTTTCTTATATTAGACAATCAAACCAATTTATTAAATAAACAAGTGAATCAATTGACCAATAAGCTATACAACCAATGAAGCAATTACTCCATTAACCAATCAATGCATAAACTTATCAACACACAAGTTAATTAAGCTATAAGCTAACCAACCAATGATGCAATTAATTGATCAATAAACTGTCTAAACTATGAACAAGTCAATGTATAAACGAACTAACCAACTGATGAATCAATAAACCAATCAACTAATAGACCAGTAATCCATAAATTAATAAAAAAAACAACCAATTAGCCTATAAAATAATTGATAAACGAACCAATTCATATACTAACCAACTAAGTGATACGCGACAAGGCACCTCAGTAAGACAGTAGGTCCGGATATTCAAACTCGTTGCGACTAGACGACTGGAAACAATTCCGTCAAAAACGACGTAAAGCCAAGAATATCTGTCTGGACGCGAACAAAGCAGACCAAAGTGATAAAGGCCATTTGAATAGCACACTCTATGGAAGTCTTTGAGCTTTAACATCACGTTCAGCGATTTCACTGTAACTGAAGGGTTTCACATAAAGCAGCACTTTCAGACTTGAATGGTTCTCAAGCTTTTTCAAGGACCCCAAGAGACTGGCAAACACAAGGAAACAAGCAAGTCGCTGAGCAGCCGAAGAAAAGCCAAAGGAGAGCAAGAGTAACATTACAAGAAGACCTATCCCTAATTGAAACCTGGTGTGCCGAGTGGCTTATGTCCATTAATCATAATAAATGTAAATGTGTATCTTTTTCTAAATCCCGTAATCCAGTAGATTACACCTATCAACTTGCATCCCAGCCCATTGTAAAGGTTTCATCTTTTAAATACCTTGGCGTGCACTTAAGCTCTGACCTTACATGGAGAACTCATATTGAACACATAACTTCCAGTGCTAATAAAACTTTAGGTTTTCTAAGACACCATCTTAGTCAAGCTTCACCGAAAATCAAACAGCTGTCGTACTGCACCCTTGTTAGATCCAAGATGGAATACGCTTCTACCATTTGGAACCCCCATCAGGCTTACCTATCTGACATGTTAGAATCAATCCAAAACCGCGCAACTAGATTCATTCTTGCTGACTACTCACCCACGAGCATCTCTGCCCTTAAGGCTTCTTTATCACTACCTCTCCTTAATACTAGACGCACCGTAGATAGATTATCCTTTTTTCATAACCTGTTTTACAAGCCCTGGACTGATCATGGATTCTTCTCTTCAGCCAGTCATGTCTCCCTACGCCGTGATCATTGCCAGAAGATAGAAATGCCCTTTGCCAGAACCAACATTTTAAAAAACTCTCCCCTTTTTTTGTGTATACGGGATTGGAATGCGCTACCTGAGTCCATTGTAACAATTACAGATCATACCTTGTTTTTAGCAGAACTTACTAAGCATATGATTGTATAATGAAGATATTGCACTGTAAAATAACAGATGTTCTTTCAACCTATTTGTCCCTACATTTGATTTCAACCCTTGAAGTGTTATACTGTGTTTTATGTTACCCCCCTTATGTAATGCCCCCAGGGGCCTTTAAGGTATAATAAATGAAATGAAATGAAATGCAAGCACGGCAAGGAGGAGCGAGTCGTCAACCTACCTGTGCCAACGTTTCCTGGAGTTTCACGACCCTCTCCTCCAGATCATGGAGTCGTCTCTGGGGCTGGGGCTTCCTGCACGTCACAAAAAGTTGCGGCAACGTCAAAACCAAACAAGAACCCCGTACGTTCTCAAGAAATTCTTATTTTGCTTCCCAACAAAGAAAGGTACAAAACAGTGACAGAAAGGCACGAGAGACGCGGCTGGGAAAGCCGAATTCGGGGGTTTTACGAGCCAATCCGGCACACCCCAGCTGATACCACCTAGAAGACAAAGCTGCGTGACGTCACCGTTTGCGGAGATCCGACCTGCCTCAAGCGGCAGAATCACCAAAAGAGCCGCTGCAAGGCAGCCGACTCATTTTGGCTGCACGTCAAATGATCCACAACGAGAAGTCTTTTGAGATGCAACAGAAATTTCGGTCGCACGGTGCACTCTCTGACAACAAGACTGCGTCAGATTGTGGGCACGTCGGCCGCAATTCGAACCTACCACCCCGGGACCCGTACGCCCCGGCGCTACGCCTCGAAGCCACCGAGGCGGCGACGCGAGCGAAAGACTCACTCGTCCTGCAGGTGCGGTCCCCTGTCGCCCGAGGGAGGAGGACTGGCGTCGGGGCAGGCGATGACCTGGGCGGGCTGCGCCGTGGTCAGGATGACGTCCTCGGCCGACGACGGGCACGACGAGCGGCAGCGCAGCGCCAGGCCCTGCCGACGGCCTACGCGCTCCAGAGACGAAGAGGGCGTGGCGGGGCCGGAGCGGGGCCGCTCCGGAGCGCCCTGGGGGCACCACGGGGGATCCTGCACGCAATGACCGGACCCCACGCGATGTTAGATATTTGGGACAGCCGACTCCTAAGTGACCCTTTTATCAAGTCGGATTAACCGCCATATGGAAACGGGAGATAAAGCGACTCGCGAGTGGTTCCGGTAAACACGGCCGTCATTGGAGACGCGTTCGAGGCATCGCAACGCCAACTGTGAGCCTTCCAGAATGTTCAAGAAGCTAAAAAATCTTGCTTCAAAGCGTGCCCGTGCCCCTCCCCTCACCTCGCAGTCGCTGTCCAAGTAGTCTGGGCCAATGAGCTTGAGCAAGTCCTCCTGCAAGGTGGAGCCGCCGGACCCCGGGCCGCTGCTCGTGCTCCCCGCGCTGCTGCTGCCTTTCACCGACGACGGGGACCGGGACGAGCAGGCGGACAGGGACACCGCACCGCCCGCCCGCAGCGCCAGCGACTGCGCCGGCCGCACCACGGACAGGGGGCTCCGGGGCTCCCCCGCCTCCGCGCCCACCCTGCAGCTGAAACGCGACGGTCGGATCGGATTGGATTGGATTGCAGCAACTTAAACCCATCGCATCGGGCGATTGCGGTGAAAGATCTAGTCGAAACGAACGAGGAAATATGAAAAAAAAACGCTAAGCGCAACTGCAGTGGCATTCCTTCTTCTACTTGCTTTTTCACCACCAGTCCTCTGGTTTTATGCTCCACAGGTGCATAGAATGTGAAATAAAATGTGTTTTGTGCTCGAAGCTGGTTAACTTTAGCCGTGCTAAAATGTTAGCCGCCCTTCCCTACTAGGTACGTACAAGTACCTAGCCAAGTTTGAAGAGGGCTGTATGAGCGATAGCTCCGTGTTTTATTACAGGGTGGTAGTTGGTGTCACCTACTGGTTGTAGTGAATAGAAGTGGCTTTGGTGGAAAAGTTCCCAAAAAGGGGGGACCCAAGAACGCGCATTACCAGGTTTTCGCGACGTAGCGTGGCATACATTTGAGTTTAAGAAACATGTTTTGTTGCTCGCGGTACAGATATTTGGTAAGGTAAAACTAAATCAACCTTTGTTCGAAAAATATCTAAATGTTTGGCTATCTGAAGTGAAGACAAGCCTCGTTGAAATTTCCTTCCAAGTTCTAAAGAGGACGAGGAAGTTCAGTCCATAAAACGATCAGAAAGAAGTGAGCAGTGAAAGGCAGGCAGTACACCGGCAGTGTGGTTGGCCAGCATGTAAGAATTGTATATAACACCATCATAAATTAAAAACCACGCAATTTGGCTTTAGTGAAAACATACCGTACCTATTCCTAAATTACCGAAGCATCGAAAAGAATGCTGAAAGTGTAATTCCACGCTCCATGCGCACTGGCCTACCCGTATAAAAGATTCGAAGTAAATAATCATAATAAGGCTTTGACGAACGCGCATACAAGGCAAAATATATTTTCAGGCTTTTGCTTTAGAACAGTTACCGTATTTTCCGATGTTCAAGACACACTTTTTTCCAAAATTTCCGGCGGTGCGTTTTATACACAGGTGCGTCTTACACACAGGGGCGTCTTATACACCGGAAAATACGGTACTACTGCAGACGGCAGCATGTGGAGCATGTGTAACTACACTCGTAGCAGGCGCCTTGGTGCTTGGAAAATTTAGCAAAAGGTCCAATTGGGACGCTGTCTGCATTTCTGCGCTATAAATACGTGGCCGATTGGGTCAGGGCAATCTACTAAATTATTCCAGACGTTGCCATGCCAACAATTACTGCATTCATTTAGGCTTAGGAATGGCCAGAATTGAAAGACTATCTAAAAAATGTGGCGAGGTCATTGTTCATCCTTTGCGATTTAAGTGAGGTAAAGCAAAACAAAAGCCTCCTGCACCATTCATTGCTGATTAATGCATCCGATATTGCAGCTACTACGAAATGTTAGTTCCAAAGCAAGCAACGCTCGCTCGCGGTGGAACCGCCATGTTTCCTCGCCGTCCTTACTCTGCTGGTCACGTGATTTAGAATTCCCTCTAGTAAGAAAAAGCGGTTAACTTTTTACCGCGGTTAAACTTAACCGGCTTCGAGCAAACAAGCCCAGCACTCCCATAATGTTGTGGGCTAAGGGCAACAGATACCAACGCACCTTTAACCCAAATTCTTAACACAGTTTTTGCTTTGGGCGGAGATTGGACGACTCACCTGAGGCGGACCTTTGGACTGTGGGCAGGGCCCCGGTCACAGAGGCCTCGCTTGGGCAGGGGACTCCCAAGATGGCTGCCGCTGCACGTCGACAGCTCGTCTGCACGCCACATCAACCACAGAATGTCAGAAATACGGCGTCTCGACGAGCGCGACTTGGAGCTTAAAAATAGCGCGAGAGGTCGCAAGCAATCGAGGGTATGGGAACGAGCCTTAAGGGCCGACGTGCGACCTCGGTATTCTGCAGGAAAGATAAGCCCCCGCCTGCCCCGCCCCACCCCGCCCGCCCCGTTTCGAACTGCGGGGAGCCATGTTGGGGCAAGTTGAAAGGCGGAGAGGACACGAAGGAAAAAAAGAAAGAAAAGTGGGAAAACGCCAAGTGTACGTCGGCCTTTAAGGGCCACAACACAAACGGCCGGACGACGAAAGGACGGGCACCCACCGGCGCTGCTGCCAGCGCCCAGCGCCCATTCGCTGGAGCTGTCTGACTGGTAGCCCGAGGCCAGGGGGACGCCGGAGTTGCTGTTGGCCGTCTGGTTGCCCCCGCAGCAGCGATCCAGGGCCAGCGAGGACGTCGACACCACGCTGCTCAGGTCCCCCTGGCTCTTGCGCTGGAGCTGCACACACAAGCAAGCAACAATGCGAAACGCGTACTAGCATGGAACGTTTTTGTTTAGCCCACCAATTCTAAAATTTTTTTATCGTGAGGATCTACTGGCCTCGGCATTAATGCAACGAAGCAGCGCTAGGGCAGGGGTTCCTAACATTTTCTAGCCAAGAGAAACCTCTCCCGACATCAGTGTTCCTCCAATAAAGCGGCACCGAAATTTACAGACCGTGTACGCAACGAGGCACGTACTGGAAATACGTGGCTCATAGTTACGCATCAATGAGCGGCCTACGCCCGCTAAAATAGACCTTAAACTGGAGAATGCTTTGCTTAGGGAAGGATGAGGAAATTCGGAGAGCTTGGGGAATGCACCGGGGTGCTCCGAAGAACCTCCGGGTTCCTAGGATTCCGGGTGTTTCCCGGACAACCCTCGCGGGTTTTCCCGAGCACCCGAATTTTCCTCGACCCTCCCGTCCCCCAAGTAATGTGCACTTCCGGGCACTGTCTCAGCGGATTCAAGCCACCCAAGAATGAGTAACTAAGGGGCAAACGTAACCTGCATTCTTCACTACAATGCACGTAAGTGTGCCGCTTTACCACCTCGGGTGTTCCTCGAATTCGAAAAGTTTTGACACCCCGCGGTTTACTCTATGGTCTGTTGCGGGTTAAGAACCAGTGAGCAGTCTATCTAAGGACCGTGGCATTAGTCTTCTACTTGTCCTAGTCTGTAGTGTCACCTGCGTTCCCGATACGTTCGCCTAGCTACACTTTGTTTCACCGTAACTCGGCAAAGGGCGAACGCTGCGGGCCCTTCAGAGCCGGTCAGAGCGACGGAGGAGGCGAAGCACGTGATAGCATTTACCAAAGGTATGGGGGTTAGAGCGTAACCCAAGCAGTAGGAGAAGAGGGGAAGGAGGAACTCCCCCTCTTAACACAAACCTTCCTGCTGACGTCGCTATTTTTCTCTTATAAATGAGCCCTTCGCTCGAAATTTGTACAGAGGCAGCTTTCCTCTCCCTTCCGCTCGTGACATCCAAAGCACTGCCCAAATTAGTGAGATAGAACACAGTCACGTGTACTTCTCCGACGCATTGAACGGCTCGAAGAAGCCGTAGCGCTTGCTCTTTGCCAACTCGTTGTGAAACGAAGTAGAGCCCAACGCTCCACGCCGGTTTTCACCTGCGATCCCAGGGCGTCGCGGGGTGCCGCGATGGTGTCGAGGGTGCCGTGGCGCGCCTGCCTCGGGTGCAGGCCGGGCACCCTGATCTGCTGCTCGTGGGACAGCTGGGCCAGGCTGAGTTCGCTGCGCGACACCACCAGGGGGCCTGCGAGGGGCTCCAGCAGCAGGAGGGAGGCCAGCGACGGACTGCTGCCCCCACTGCGGGACGAGCCTGCGACAGACAAAGGGAACGGCACTCACATTACCCGTCCGTTCCGACGCAGAATTCGAAGACCGTCGTAAATAACCGTCTTGACGAACCGTCACCAAGAATTGTCAAGAAGGATTGTCATGTGCTGCCAACCTTAGGGATTTCCCCCTATATCTAGGGATTTCTGTCATCATTTAGGGGTAAAAAGAAATTCGCTTAAATCTAGGTATTTTTTTAATGGGTTTCAAGGGCTTTAGAGACACATTGCTTCCCCTTTTCCTCTTCGTGCCGGTCGAGTGCAAGGGGAAGGCTTCTCTGTATCTTGTCGGGGTAATAACAGTGGTAATAACAGTGATTTTGGGGGGCCACACAAAGCCCAAGTAACGAAGTTTAACCATGTAAAAAGGTTTCCACGAAGCAAATTTAACTTTTAAATGGCCACCCAACTACAGGAATATATTCTTACGCTACTCTATAATGAAAATCTCAATATTGACATAAACTAACACATTTTTCGAAAATCTAAGAAAATCTAGGGAATTTCTTTTGATAAAAATCGGGGAAGAAACATTTACGCAGGTTGGCAGCACTTCACGTGACACTATGACGTTACACGACACCATGACGTCACGTCTGCCACATGACGCCGCACAAAGATAGCACGTGTCCGCCTCATTCGCGACACATTTTGTGCTCCCCCCGTCTTCGTCAATCCAATCAAGCCGGCGTAATCTTTTTTTCTTTTTTTTTTTTGAAAGCGCTCAATCATTTTGACATTTTTTCAAAACAGCCCTATGCTGCCGGGAAGTTTGTCTGCTCCTTGCAAAGTGAGACCCTCGCGTCACACCACTGAGCTCCGATCGGACGGGTGGACCGCCCACCGTGTCTACCAATCACAGAGAGCAGGTTCATCCACTCCTTGCGCAGAGTGACTATAGTCCGTTGCAACTCAAGAAGGTAGGGCGAGGGTAAGACGGGCTGGGGAGGAGGAAGCAGACGAAATGCTAAAGAGAAAGGAGGTTTCCCCCTCTCTTCTCCAGCATTCCGTCTGCTTCCTCCTTTCCAGCCAGTCTTACCCTCGCCCTACCTTCTTGAGTTGCAACAAACTATAGCTACGGCCACTGCACCCTCCGCTTGCTACTATGAACCGCCGTTCCCGGGTGGTGGAAACCACGCGGGAAAATGGCGGGTCTCTTCCTCTAGATTTATAACGTGGAGTCCGTCTTGTCGCTCACCTGTGTGTGCAGTGGGGGCCACCAGAGGGGGCAGAGAGGTGCACGCCTGTCGAGGGCCCCGGTCGCACGGGGAGCCCCCGGTCCGGCCGGGGGGGCTGCGCGCCATCCGCGCCGGCACGGGTGGAGGCACTGGCGACGGACGCTCCTGTTCCCGCAGAAACGCACCATCACCGACGATCGACAAAAGCAAATGTTGCTCGATCCCACAGATACTACAAGAACGCGCAGAACACACATATTTCTCCTGACATAAAGAATTAATTATCGCTATTCGTTAATACTTATTTATTTATTAATTTAGCTGAAACCAGTAGGCCCCGCAGCGTGCTAAACTAAACAACATTATTGAGTCAAATTATTATTGCTGTAATTCGTTATAATTCTACGTAAATTATCCAACTATATTAAAAGTTGATTCAATGCTTTGACCTTTTGTGTACCCTGAGCATGCGCGTGCGGCCAAAGTGTGGCAAAAGGCACGGAGCACGTGCAGGAAGTCAAGCGTTTAGAGGCGAAGCCCTGCTGTTCTCGCTGCATCAGCAACTGTAGCTGTTCTACTGTCTTGGAAACTTCTAGGATCCGAACGAACATTGCTGTTTCTGATTCTGGTGTCGTGCATCTGGTACCCTTGCCTAGTGTAGCTCAGGGGCAAATCCAAGGGGGGGCGACGGGGGCGGCCGCCCCCCCCCCCCCCCCCCAAACAAAATCGACCCCCTCCCCTCCCTCTTTCTCGGAGGGCAATTTGACATGGGTGGACCCCCTGGTGCACAAGAAAGAATGGGAGAACAGTATCCTTACAAATTTTCCGCCCCCCCCCCCCCCGCCCCCCCCGCCCCCGCCCCCCCCGCCCCCCCCCCCCCCCCCCCCCCCCAAAACGGAGTTCTGGATCCGCCCCTGGTATCGCTTCTCCGTCAGCTGAGGCTGCCACATACAGTGGCCATATACAGTAGACACATGAATTATCGGAAGACTGAATTATCATAAATTCATCTAAATATGCAGCAAGATAAATTATGATTCGTTACATGGGTCATTCTAGCAAAGATGAAACGTTTAGGTTTGTGAAAAGTTAACTTGGTGACATTGACTTTTGTTTACTATCTTATGTTGATCAACAGGTAATTCGTTTGTTATTTTTGTAGAAAAGACAGCCAAGCTCCCAGATACTCGTTTCTACCATTAACAACAAATATTGTAGAATATACTCAAGATAAAATTAGCGATAGTTATTTTAAGGCTTTATTTTCTTTTTTTGGTGCTTATCAAATGCACTGCTTTTATTTTGCAATAACATACATAAAACATATAAACTCAAATTTTGTGTCTAGATTAGAAAATATTCTTGAGAGGAATGTTTCTTTTGCAAAAGGGGAGCGGAAGAACAACATTCATGCTTTTGCATTCACAACTCATAAGATGTGCTCAGGTGTCCTTGGACTTTTGATGAACAGTTTAGTACCGTTACAGAAACCGAAAAATAAATTTATCACGTAAAAAGTATACAGTAAAAACATTTTCAGCGTACCCAAGCATTTTAGTTGATGCAAATGCAAAAGGGAGATCTACATTTTTTTTTTAGTTGATGCAAATGATTTGTGTTGTAATTTACTTGCGACATGACTGGCCGTTAGGCCACTGACCGTTTTAGGAACGACTGTTATACAGCTGACGATTCTGGCAAACTTATTTTTTTATAAAGATACTCACATTTCAATTACCACATAAAAGATCTGTTACACCACTGACACATCAAAACGGTATGCATTTGTTTCTATTTATTCATAAGCTAATAAAATTTCAGGGTTTTGCCCAGGGTAAATGGCTCTTGCAAGACTTTTCTGAAAATTTTGCAAACAGTCTGCATAGTTTCAAAATAAATAAGGTTTGCAAAATTTTTTTAATAAGTTTGTACATCTTACATTATAGTACCGCTCACATTCAGGTCGGTCGCACTAGTTTCTTTTAATGCGAAAGCATCACCGTAAAATACCGGGGAAGCGCCCACTTTGTTCAAGCGCCCACTATTTACATTTCCCAAACTTGGGAATTCTGCAAATCGTACGTTAAGCACCTGATTTGACCAGACAAGCGTCCATGTCTAGATTATCCCAGTTTTCAGTGAAAGTTGGGTGGGCGCTCCTCCGGTATTTTATGGTAACTGTCTCGTGGAGCGAGCCGACGTCATCGGTTTGAAGCGCGAAAACAGTGCCTAGTTTCCCTGATCCCAAAGATCCCATTAGCTGGCGCGCGGCAACAAGGCTCCCATTGGCCGCTGCGCGCGTCAGTTTTAACGACTGCCGCCAGATGGCGCTCCATGTCCGTGCAGCCTAAAGCCCCTTTATCCTGGAAAAAGTGGTGCCATTCATTGTTGTTAACATGCTCGAGACACGTGCCGCGCGCCACTTCTGAGAAGAACATGGCATCTAAAATCTAGCTCAGGGCTGCGCTGTGCCGCCATGATCTTCACAAAGGTTGCACGCTGCACGTGCCTCGTGCATCAATGCACCTTGCGCTACTTTTGAAACATGAAGCGGCTTTAGTGTAGCCTAGAGTTCCTGTATGGGCTCCCTACGGGAGTCAGAGTTGCGCGTTCATCCCCGTAGCGCCGTCTTTCCTGCTCCTCACGTGACTGAATTCGGTGAATAGCGGCACCGCACAATTGAGGCGCGCGGCATGCTCCAAAGCAGGGGAATGTACGCCGGGGTGCGGGCAATGTCTACTTTCCAGCGCGGCATTTGATCCGGCTCCTCAAGTGATCGGATCTTGGCGAATAGTGGCGCGGTGGCAAGTGAAAAACAGACGCGCAACTCTGGATCCCGTAGGGAGCCTGTACAGGAACTCTAGTGCCGCCAGCGCGCCAATAAAACTAACTGCCGCAACCCCATGCCACTACGGGCCCCGCGCCGATTAAAACGGACACGTTGGCGCGTGCTCGGAGGCTTCTGCTCGTCTCGCCGCCGACGAACATACTGTCGCCTTTATCATCCACGTCGTCAGAGGGGCTTCTATGCTTTCGCATTCACAACTCATAAGAAGTGCTCAGGTGTACCTCGAGCTTTTTCTTTCTTAAAGTTCGTAAGAATATGGATACTTTAGCAACACTGGACACTGAGATCAGATAAATTAGATCTGACGTTGGTGCGCGATTTTTTAAATCAAGCTTGTAAAAGTTTACTACGCTAAAACAAAAGTTCACACCTTTGAAACTTGTGTGGCAGTTAGCAGACACAAAACAAATGCTAAGATTACACATAGGACGCAATCTAAACTCAATCTTTTTTTTAAAAGCAGTCTTAATTATGATAACTTGCAAATATTTGTTTTTAGGACCCCCTGATGCTATGCTAAACAAACAATATTTTAGGAATGACGGAAGGAGTTTGAAAGTTACTTGGCAGTCACAGTAATGATTAATTTTCGCGAGATTGACCTTTATGGATGGCTATGCATACAAAGTGGGTATTTGATGATTTCCTCTACAAAGACCTACTGATCATACGTAGCTATGCCACGCATGAAACATTAATAAAATGTATGGACTGTTTAGATAGTGCATGACGCCTCGAAGCAGAATTAGGTTTGTTCATATGTCAAGGAAAGTTGTCTATTGTGGACTATGAGCCCCGCTGAGCTTGTCTTACGAGCCCCGGTGCACTGCGGAAAGGCAACATCTGTGGAATTAAGTTCCATAGGTGCTGCTTTTCTGCACTGCACCGGTGCTTGGTAAAAAGGGAGCTCAATGGGGCCGCAAAAACGAAAGGTAGATGCACAAAAATGCGGTTTGGATTTAGCGGCTTATAAATACATTGAAAACATGGCTGGACGACCAAAATCGAAATTTGTTTTGAATTAACCGGACTAAGTGATTTGTCCGCTGAGTTGTTCCATTGTCCGCGTCCAATCTTTTACGCGTCAGACATCATTCGTGACTTACCAAGGATTTTTATTATGTTTTTGGGGATTATGCCATATTTTTTGGAAGCCTAAAATGCTACTACCACCCCTAAACTGTACAACGAATAAGAAAAGCGTTGACAAGCGTTCAGTAGCAACACCCAGTCACTCTTTTCATTATGCGCATATTCAATCGGTAATTTGTTGATTGGGTTTGGGTTTTGCACCACACATTGGTATCCAATTAAAATCAAAGTAATTGCACCTCATAATCACACATTCCCCTTCCGGGTTTGGGACCACATCACACTTAGATCAAACGATCAAGTACGCCACCAACAGAAACACTGCGAGGTAACACCCGCTTCCTTACTACAGAAACATGAGCATCGCTGAGTCGCCCTACAGGGGCAACGAAAGAAGCATCGCTCACCTCAGATGAGGTGTCGCACACCCTCTGGGATTGGTTGGCACTTCTGAACTGGAGATCATTCCTACGAGGGTTCGAGAAAAAACAATTTGTTACCCACATCTCGCACTCTTCACAGTTCGTTGTGAAAGGCTTCTCAAATAAAACAACACAAAACACACTACCTCTGTCACTATACTGCAGGAACGTTAAAGCACCCCTCAGATCTTTTACGAAATGTTTTAAGTCACTTTCTCCGATGTACTCGGAAAGAAACGCTTACGTATCGTGAAAACCATAAAATGAGAAAAAAAGAAAGGAATGAAAAACAACATGCAGGTTGTAGCGACGGCTCGGCTGCATGTGAGTCTGTCACTGCTCAGAAGAGCGAAGTCGGGATGGAAAATGTCTAGTGTCCGACTTGGTGTTGCGGTAACCTTATGCCGAAAAATGATTGGTCCAGTTCACGCCGCTCCACCTCAACAGCTTCTTCTTAACGTAAAACATTATTTCGCTAGGTGTTCGGCATTTCGTGAAACTCAAAGGGAAGCCCGGATAAAAGCGTGGCCGCGACGCTCCACACTGATTGGCTTCGAGTGGAAGGGAAGAGGCCATCGCGGTAAAAAACAAGTGTTTGCACGAGGAGGGAATCGAACCCAGACCGTTTAGATTATTAAGTGAGCGTCTTTCCAGCGTTTCACGACACATCGCCGTGAGTTGAGGTGCCATTTGGCGGGCAAGCCCTGCGGGGCATCCGCTCTGCATCCGGCGGATGGCAACTTGACACCTTGTCGCACGTTTTTCAAACTTGGGTTAGGGCTGGCATTTTCAGTCCAGGAATTGCTGTTGAGTGTACATGCCACGCGCTATGCCAGTCGCAAAACTAGCCGATGGAAGAGTGCCGAGAGTGTAGAGGGTGTCTAGCAAATTATTATTTTGAAATTCCCTGACTTTTCCAGGTTTTCCCTGACAATTTCAGGAGAAATTCCCTGACGTCTGTAGAGGTGGTTAAATATAATAAGACCATAACAACACAAGGCTTTGAGGATTGAGCACAGTGAGGATCATTTTGCACGGGCTTAGTCTAACTTGCATATTCCGAAATATTTGGGTTCGTCCAGTCCGGATTAAACGAGCACGTTCTTGCCGCCGACATCTTCAGTGAAGAGGCCACTTCCGGAAACACAATGAAAACACGACGCTCAACCATACATGTCAATAACCGAATGGCAGCATGGCGAATTGCCGCCAGATGCACACTTTCGGATACTTTCGGCTTAATGCTAAAATTGGATTGGGGTCATCTGTTACTAAATCTAGAAGCTCTTACTGAATCTAGCCTAGTGTCGTGCCCTCATACCAAACCAATCCAAGGCTTGGACTGGATTTGTCGGCTGTTCCCTTTGCATCGGGTAGCACGCTGTACATTGGGTGAGCAAAGCCCGCGCTCCGCTATAAGCAGAATTTAGAGTAGACTCTCATTAATTCAAACTCTAGGAGGTCACAGATTTTAGTTTGAATTATCAGAAATTCATCTAAATATGATACCAGACAACATTATGATTTGTTACATGGATAGCTACACATACAAAGCAGATTTCTGCCACTTTCCTCTTCATAGGCCTAACTATAAGCAAGTACAGGCATAATACATGTGACAGTTGGTAGTGGGTCATCTTTTTCTTCATCATCATCTTCACTCTCACCGCTGCGCTGTGCCGGCATTACTTCCTGTACTATGTTCTTTAATGAGTCATCACGACACACACACATCGTTGTCAGGACTAGCATATCCCGCCAGCTCGGTGTTCACATTATGTGCTTCAAGGCCAGAAAGCATGACGCCATTCAGCTGGTCCTTATCCTCAATGTCGTCTTGGTCATCATTGCTAGTTTTGAAGCACATAATGTGAACGCCGTTTTCTGCTAATGTGTGCCCGCTTCAGCCGCGTTGAGTGTGCTTCTTTCCGAACACCGATGCACTGCGGAGAAGCAACACTCGCGAAAGCAAGCTTTGCGATAATTGCTTCTCTGCGGTGCACTGGTGCTCGAAAAGAAGCGCATTCAACGGGGCCGCGACAACAAAAAAGTATGAATTAAGTGGCTTATAAATACATTAAAAACATAGCGGGACAACCAAAATTTTCAAATTTGTTTGAATTAACCAAAAGTATGAAATATCCGAGTTTGAATTATCGCAAGCCTACTGTATTGCCCATTCTTCTGCCCCCAAGTCCTCAAGTCTTTGCTCAGGGCACTCGATGGCATTTCTGGCTCATTTTGCCTGTCTGGGCTCGCTTTTTGACAATATCCCTGACAATTCCCAGACTTTTCCAGGTAATTAAAATTTCTCTGACAATTCCCGGTCTTCCCGGTCGCTAGACACCCTGGTGTAGACGCCACATGTTCCATGTGCAACAAAATTGCTGAGCAATTTGCTACGCTTTTTTTGTTTTTGTTTGAAGTGCATTACATGCATTTAAAGTTACAAAGTTTTGTCAGCCAACGTAAAAGCAAATGAAGTACACCATATTCGTTCGAGCAGTGGGTGCATCGTTTATGAAAAATGCCTTTGCACACACCTTCCAACAGAGTGCCCAGATAGCCAGTCATCAATTCACAATTCATCAATCGAAAAAAAAAAAAGAAACCCAGCGAATGACGTGAAACGAACTACTTCGTTACGAAAACGACGCCACGTCTATACTACGACATTGCGCACGACGGTTTGCAGCCCAAGATTCAGCATGGACTGGTTTGTCCGAACTTGATGTTAGCTGCGTTTGGTGCCTAAAACACGGCGATTCGCCGCATCTTGGCTCTGCGGACCCGTAAATGCACAAGCCCCATTCAGAAACGGTCGAGCTACTAGTTGAGAAAACACAACCCGCTCGTAAATTAGTAAGCAAAGAAGATGCCTAAGGAACAAGTCAATCTTGAAACACCGTCCAAATGCGGCTGGCATATCGTGGGTAGGTATTTATCGCGGCCGTAATCGCCAATGGCCTAAGGAATGCATGGCGTGGCAAGTCCCATGCATCATGCACCTTATTGTCGTTCTGCACCCAATGAGATTACGGCGCTAGCCGATAGGAATGCTTAAGAGCAACTCGCGAAGTAAGATGTGTAAACACAATGAAGCGGTCAGCAGCTAGAGTTTGAGACACGTTTTCAGGGTAAAAACTCCAGGTAGCAATGAAGGTAGTGTACTTAAAAATACTTTTCAAAAAGATATTAAAGATATTAAAGACGTTGAGAGAAATTTGAGTAATGACAGACTTTAATGCACAAACGTTTCGAAAAGAGTCTTTCCTTCTTTGAGCGTGTACACCTGTGAGCAATATGAAGGTGAACAGCCCTCTTCTTGTTTTTGACGCTCCTGTAAGTTTTGGAACAAGCTCTGTTCCAGAAGAGGGCTAGAACGCAAACATTAGACCCCAAGCCACGTACCATTTGAGACGTTGAGAGTTAATATAGCTTTAGGGAGCTGCAAAACAGGCAAGAAACCAGGCAAGTTGTTCACCTTCATATTGCCAGCGGGTGTACAAGTGTTAAAAAGCATATGCAGAAGAAAAATACTATTTTTAAACAGATGGAAAACGGAAATAATAAAACAAATTTACAACACAATTTTTTTTTTTTTAGAGTTATATTTACAGCGCGGAACAAATTTGCAGTAGGTGCCCGCGGGAGGCCGCGGAAAAGTGGCCGTTATAGTCAGGTGACTGGCCGCTATGGCCACGTGGTGCTTGCGCTCTTTCGGGAGCTTAATATGGGCTCTAAAAGTTACTTATTCATCTTCGTTTGAAGTGCAACAAAAAAAAAATATTAATAAGTAACTTTTAAAGCCCTAAGGAAGCTCCCGAAAGAGCTCAAGCGCAACATGCTAGACCTGTGCGCCGGTCAGAAACTGACGCCGCACAGCGTTCCCTTCTGGCGCCGGCGTAGAGAAACGCTTCCAGCCGACGGCGTGCCACGCTCAGCGTGTGGCAGCGGCAGGGGGTCTTGGGGACTTCAGCGGCGGCGCTGAATGGTTCCGGCGTAACTTGCGGCAGTGGCAGCGCTGGCGGCGGCGGCGCAGCACGGCAGCACACAGGCCTACCACGTGACTAGTGGCAGCTCCCGCAGGCGCCAACTACTAGTTCGTTTAGCAAAGTAAATATAGCTCTAAATATTTTTTTTGTTCCATGTATATTCATTTTATGACATCCTTTTGCCATCCAGGCTATTAAAAAAAATGTTTTTTTCTTTGGCATATGTTTTCTAACAACTGGGTATTAAAGCCTATTGTAATTCGAATATCTCTAAACGTCTAGCAATCGAGGGGAAAGTAGGCGAGCTAATAATGTGTCCGAAGGCGGCTTCGAGACTCTGAAGAGCACGGAAACGCCGTTCGGTGACAGTGGAGCTTACAGAAAGACAGCAGGGAAACGACAGACACCGGATGCGAAGGATCATCGTCGTTGCCCGTTTATTTTTGTATGCTTATAAATGGCTACAGTCCCCAGCAGGATGAGGACGGCAGAGAGATCATTCAGTCGTTCTGCCTTTGGCGCGTGCTTTCTACCTTCGGCATCGCGTGCAGGACGTCGGGCGTTCGAAAGACCGGCCCTGCCGTCCTCGTCCTGTCAACGACTTTAACTGCCCGGGAAAGTCAGACGAGGCTACTCACCGTGCCCTGGCTTTGGCGTACGAGGGAACCTGCTGACCCACGGCCGACGCGTGTCCTCTCGGAGGCGACGGGACGCCGCCGCCCCCCAGCTCCGCCATTGCACCCTCGTAGTCCGACGCAAAGTAGCTGCAGTTCTGGAGGGGGCAGCCCCTGCGACACGCCCCACGGACGCGGAGTGTGAGTCTCGTGATCCCGCGTCACCCAACAAAAGAAGTAATTAAGCCCAACAAGAGCCAAGGAGAAAAGGGAATGCAAATGTCAAGGACATACTTCTCAAGAAAGAAGCACTAGCAAACAAAGTTCAATGCCCGTTTCATGCTTTACCAGTGCGGAAAGCTTATTCGGTTCACGAAGAAGTTAATACACAATCCGTTTAATCTTGTTGCAACCTTAACATGGAGCAGAGTTGACGCACAGAATAAGAATCGGCTTCTAGTCCGTTATGTCGATGGTACAAAACAAAATTTCGAGGATTTAGGTAGCAAATTGACGAAGTCATCTGAAATGTCTCACTAGGGGACTGAGGATCGGCTAACACACCCCGAGGATATTAAATGTGCAACCCATTCCTTAACTTTACAATGCCCCGACTGTGACAATCTTTCGTCAAATTCGACGACTGGGCATCCACAGTAGGCTGGCACTTGGCCTCGGGCTCGCCGAGACAGCATTGAACAGCCAATAAACCAACTGCACTATAGCGGCACCGTAGTGACTGACACGGTTCCACCTAAAACTCTCGAATTCACACTTTTTAATTTAAGACTAGAGGCAATATACCGTACAGGGTATTCAAACATTTTTCTAGAGAATTTGGGTTGACAAAAATATAAACAGATGACGGAGACCGACGACAGACGTAGACCTGCCACACCCGGAGGCAAGACGAACGTCGCTCACCTTCGGGGGCTGCCATCTTTGTGAGGTGGCACCACGGTGACGCTCACCATCACCGAGGTCTTCAGCAGGTCCACCATCTGGTCGTAGCTCAGGGTGGCCACCGCCACCTTGCAGATCTGGGACGACCACCACAAACACAAATTTAGAAGGCATCGCCATTTCCAAGCTCTCAAAAAACTTATTCACAGGCACTTTCACTTTGACGGAAATACATGCGCCACGAGCCTGCTACAGGATCTGAGAGTTTGCAGAGTGATTGTCAACAGCATGATTACAGTGCCTAGAACGCGTCATCAACCAGCACATTTACGCATCAAAAGTGGTCCCAAAGCGGCGACAAACGGACGTCGCAATCCTGGTGGTCTGTCGTCGAGGTCCCTGGAAAAAAGTACAAGGAAATGCGAACGCTGCCAGCATCATGGCATCTCAACTCTTGGCTGCCAAAGCTTCCGCGAACTGCAAAGCTGGAGAGTGAACTACTGCAGAAGGGTTCCGGAGCTACCCAATAGGTGGCATCAGCAGGCTCCCTTGTTGTAAGCGGTCACAAGCGGTTGCATTGCAACATGGTTGATCATTCTCGAACGCGAATGCATCGACGAGCCTTCGTATGCGGCAAGCCCCGACGGGCTTCTCTCCCGGGCGCATCGAAAGTTGTGCCCACCTCGAGCAGACGGCAGCCCCTGCGCAGTCCGGCCTCCCAGGCAAGGCCGTGGGGCTCCACCTCGGTGACCAGGCCCTCGTACTGGACGTGGAAGCCCAGCTGCCCCACCGTGTTGCGGCACAGCATCAACTCCTGCGTCTGCAAACGAGGAGAAACGGGCGGGCCATGTGTGTCGCCGGATCAGATGCACCGATTGCAACTGGGATTTTTGGAACGTATTCGCATCGGAGGAACCGTAGAATTCCGATGAAACGTGGCGAAGAGATGAATGGTGAAAAAATATAGAGCGAGAGATATACTATTTGGGGATGCGACAGCGAAATGTTCCCAGAAATGGGCAATAGACGGGGCAGGCGCCTGCTGTGAGCCACGCGACGAGGTTACCGATACCACAGATCGAGGACGCAACAAACTCGGGTTTCGTGGTGCTATAAACACGCAAGAATTCGCTACGCACTCGATCTGTCACTCCCGTGTCATGAGAACTGATACCGCAGATTACAGATGCAACAGATTCGTGTTTCACGGTGTGATAAACATGCGGGAACCGGATACAAACTCGCATGTCGCGAGAACTTATACCGGAGATCTCGCAAGTCACACGATTCCCGTCGGACATTGCGCCATGTTTGAGAATTGGGGCTGGGTGACGTTCCGGAATTTTTAACTTACGGACATTTTTGAGAACTAATTTACATTTAAATTACCTCCACTAGTTTTTGACCTAATGCCGTGAGGCGATAGAGCGACAAACACGGCATTACTCTGGCAGCTAGAACATCCGTGTAAGAGGGAGGGGGGCCTCTAGCCGGGCTTACCTCGCATGCCGACGTGACGCAGGCAAGCCTTGTCACAATCTCCTGCACCTCGTCAACATCCGAGTCCTTTGTTCGGAGGACGATGCACTCCCCCTGGTGGTAGAACAGCTTCAAGCTGCGGCGAAACAAAGCGCACGGGGAGCTTGGGAGAGGTGCCACAAACAAAAACCCCTATTTCCATCCGCTGCCTCAAAAACCCCTACAGTATAGACCACTTACAATGTAACCGCTTATAGTGTAGGACCGGGTATAACGCGGTTTTTTTAAACCACCGGTTCACCTCCCATAGAACTCCATGTAATTACATACCGCTTAAAATGCAGGCGCGCGAAGGGAAATACCGGTTATAGTGCGGTTTTTGGCACAGCCCGCCGACCGCGCCGACGACCGGAGCAGCGAGCTCGCTTTCCTGTGCGACACTAGATAACGGCGCTGACGGCGAGCCGCAAGCTGCACTCGCGGGGCAAGGAGGTTGCTCGAAAACGCGGGGAGAAGCAAAGAGAGAGGCTTCAGTTGCCATAGCGACGGAGGGACGCACGCACGAGTCGTTCACGTGCGTGCGTCCCTCCCCTCCGCCGCGTCGGAAACAAAGAAACAAACAACCGCAACGACAGACCAATCGCAGGTCGAGGAGAAGTGTTCGCGCGCGTTGCATGCCGGTCGCGGGCCGGCTGCTTCTATCGCTTCTATTCTGCAAACATGGCGTCGGTTGTGATCATTGTCGTAGACGGCGTGCATCTCATCGTTCTGCGTAAAAACGCTATCCTTGACTGTGAATTTTCGTTGTGTGTCGCTATGATAACCCAGCACGTACTAGAAGGGAAGATCCACCTACTCGTGCGGCGATGTCGTGGAGGCGCTCTCAAGACGGCAGAAACGCCCGTGTCGTCGTGTTTGTTTACTTCGACTACAGTGGTGATTTCTAAGCATTTGTGTCCTCGAACATCGCCCGGATTTCTTATTTGGCGCATTTCATGCGTGTGCTCAAATTCAAGGTATTACTGGCGCGTACCGTATGAAGGATGCGAATTTTCACGCGTTTTCATCTCCGGAGAAAAGTGATTAGGGTTAGCAATCCTGAACGCTCGCAACGTCCGTCCGCAACCCGCGGCGCCGTTAAAAGGCTGCGCCAGGCAAAAGCCGCTCATTTCTTTCAAAATGTGTCACACACTTGAGACAGAACTGTACTGGTCTGGTGAAATGAAGACTTTCCTCAAACTAAGCTTTATTTTTCATCTAACATAAAATAAATTCTCTTATAGAGGTAAGTTGTCTCATGGCATGTATTTTGGCCTGAAAAATTGATGTTTTGGTTATAGTGCGGTACCGCTTATAGTGCGGATTTTCGCGACTCCCGAGACATACGTTATATGCGGTCTACACTGTATGCGGTCTACACTGTATTTCCTTCCCATATCCTGCAAACCAGGCACGTAGCCAGGATTTTGTTTTGGGGGGAGAGGAGGTCATGACGAAATGCTGTATGAGGGGGAGGGGGGAGAGGAGGTCCCAGCAAAATTAAAGATTTCGGGGGGGGGGGGGGGGGGGCCGGGCCCCATGGCCCCCCCCCCCCCCCCCCCTGGCTACGCGCCTGCTGCAAACGGACTGCGGCGATACAACCCAGGCGATGCAATCTCTGCTCCACACAGACTACACGGAACCTCACTACATCGACATTTACCCACCAAATTTAGCGGAGGAATTTTCCCGCAAGGCTTAGCGTCGTAGTGAAAAATGCACGAAGCATTTCCTCGCCGAATTTGGGGGTGAAATTTTTTCGCTAGACGTCATGTGATACCATGATGACACAGGTGATTGTGATGTCACATGATGCCGTGGAATCGCGAGCCATGATGACCCATAAAACACATCCCGCGGATCTGCTGCGAAACCTCACCAACAACGGCTGCCATTGTAATACAGTCAAATCTCATTAATTAATTCAAACTCTCTTAATTCAAACTAACATGCAGGTCCCATCTTATGAGTCTCCACAGGAGGAAACTCCCGGTATATCAAACTTTGCTTTATTCAGACAAAGTTTCTGTCCCCCTCGAGTTTGAATTAACGAGATGCGACTGTACAGTAGAAAAAAGAGAGCTTCGAGGATTGGGCGCGGGTCTCCCACCTGCCTGTATGGGACGACCAGCCCAGCAGGGAGCCTGTCGGGCAGCCGAAGAGCGGCTCCCCGGTCATCTCATCCAGCAGCACCAGGGAGCTGATGGAGACGCCCAGCAGGCAGTCGCACACAGAGCCCTGGCCCTGGTCTTCGACCTGCAGAGAGAAAGAAACGAGGAATGTTGATCCTTCACGAAAGCGCAGCACAAGCAGAGAAAAGCCAACCAAAATCTCATTGTTACGGGACATAGAATCCACGTTACAGAACAAAGATATTCAGGCTCTGGTTTTGGGAGACTCCTTAGCTACTTCAGAAGTGCCGCCCCTCCCTCCTCTCGACAGTCTTGCAGCAAAGCCATTCAAATATTACACAGATAGGGAGACAGATGGGAATGACTGGTGCAAGGTATTGCATGGGTTCTCAATCTTGGTTCTTAGAGAGCTCCCCAGGGTATACCTAGGGGTTCCTGGGGGGGGGATTGGTGGCCGATTGGGCCAGCGCACACCAGTTCAGAGCACGTGGAGCGAAAGCTCGTGCTGCAGAACCTCCTGGGCTCAAACCCCACCACTGCCCGTTTCGATCTGGATGAGCATCGTACCGGCGTGGGGTCGTGTATCACTACTGCATGGTGCATGTTAAAGACCCCAGGCTAGTGGTTGTACTGCACTGGCTAAATTGCTCATCTACAGCTGGAATACAAGTCGCTCGTCGAAGCAGACAAGTTCTAGGCTTTATAAACATACACACACCCCAATTTTTACAGCAAAGCTGTTTATCGCTACGGTTCTGTGGATTTTTCGTGTGCGTGACCAAAATATCTAAGCTCACACAGCCGCACACACATGCCTTCCCCATATAAAACATTCAAAGTAAATAACCAAAACATGAGTTGATGAACGTGCGTGCAAGATGCCAATTGTTTTAGGCTTTTGCTTTAGAAGAGTTACTGCTGCAGACGCCGGCACGTGCGTGGAGTGGAACACCATTCCCCACATTCTCCTTGATGCTTGGGTAATTTTGCAATGGGTCTATTTCACTTCTCCTCTGCCGTCATAATGGGGAGGCCACGATGACCACCGATCAAGACAATAAATGTGTTTGTACCTTTGTACAAAATTCTGTGTCACGTCTGTGTCGTGCGCTAAACAGCATCACTGGCCATCCAACTTCACAAAGTAAAATAGCTCATGATTTCTTTCTTTTTTTTTTTTTGGGGGGGGGGGATGGTTTCTAGAGTACAGAGATGGTCTATTATTCCTATACCCAACTGTTTTCCCCGTTTAAGCCCTATCCTAGCATATCTGAGCCCCGAATGGATGCATAGCCCGTTCTGAAACATTGGCACAAGCTTACCTGCACCAACCACGAGATGGCACCTTTCACGAACGCCTCGGGAACGAAGCGTGGCCGGGGCCGCTCCTTTTTCCGCACCCCGAAGCTCAGCAACGCTGAAAGGTTAGCACAGGTGGTTGCGACCTCAGTCTCGAGTCAGTCCCGATTCACGGTCACTCAAAGAAGCAGCCAGACGCAAACTGAGCTCTCGGTGGGACCATGCTATACGTTAAAGTTCTCAGACAAGTGGTGTATGTACTCTTGAAAGTGGACGTATCATTTGCCTGAAGAGACGCGGGTTTTAAACGCGGGTTTTAAACGCAGGTTTTAAACGCGGGTTTTAAACCCGCATTCAGTGACGCGGGTTTTAAAACCGCATCACCACTGAAGTGGTGACGCGGGTTTTCAAAAATTTAACGGCAATGCATAGCAGCAGGATGAATTCAAGGATGCCACATTTTTTTCTGCAAAATTTGCTTCATCGTGGATTTTGGTTGTCTTTACTCGTAAACAATGATGCAAACTGTCAAAAGGCCTGGGCAGTACAAATTTACAGTCCTTTGCTATACCACTTCAACATGGGGTACAAGTGTATGCGGGGCAAAGTATTACACTTATAACCGGTGTTCCCAAAAATATTAAATTTTTGAAAAGCAGGAAAGAAACATTTTAAAATATTCCTACTATTTAAACATAAAAAGTGTAAGATATTTTAATGTGTCTCGTTATACATGTTAAGTATTGAAATCATGGCTTATAAGAAACATAGTGTACCTATCACGCCCATTGAAGTATCATCAAAGGCATTGGCAACAACTCTGTGAAACTTGCTTAACTTATCGCTACAGTTATTACAAGAGCACGCAATCGCACCGAACAGGTTATCTGCCATATCACGAAGGGCGATTCCGAAGAAATGACAATTACATCCAATATTTCAGCCTCGAAGCACTTTCCAAAACGCAGTAGTTTTCTGAAAACGTAGTTCAGCTTCGTACCCTCCGAGCTAGCATACGACGTTGCAATTTTAGGTTTCCCACAGCACAAACATAAGGTCAGAGACCAACCGCGCTTAAAAATGTCAGTTTTTTGCCTCGAGACCAACACTCTTATGGTTAGCCATGCCGCACGTCTGAGACACGTTGCAGAAAAGCTGACATTTCTAAGTAAGCAACAGCGCGTGCAACAAAATTTTAAGCAACAACACGCATAACAAAACGAGCAACTCGAATGTGACCGATGAAACGACCCCCAGAGACGAGCCGACAGGTGGCGTCACTCACAGAACTTGGCGCCGGAGTCGAGGGTGGTGCTGGTCGAGTAGTTGCTCGCTAGATCCTTGAGATACTCTTGCCTCGTCCGCTGGGCCATGGTGGCAAACTTCTCCGACCGATGGGCCGCATTCTCTGCGTTGATCACTGCATGGCCCAGCAAAAGACGTGCATGCACGTCACACCCGAAGGAACTCGTTCGTAGTCGCAGACGGGACGCAGACGACAGGGCACCTCTTTCGAATGATCATGCTTTGTCCCTCACAGTCATGCTTCTTCTGCATGGGTTGTGGTGACATCAGAATGCCAAGCTCCGATTGGCTCTGATTGAAGGATAAGGATAGCGGGTAGACCTCAAAGCAAGCTGCCTTGAGGGCTACCCACTATCTTATTATTCTGGAATTCGTCACTTTCTAGATATGGTGTTACGAGACCCCGGGGTCGTTTTGCCAAGTGGGAGCACAGAAATCATGTCCCGCCTTTTCGTCGGCACATTAGCAAAAGCAGGCCACAACTGGCAACACTGGTACTGCCGCGCGTGAGGCACAGCTGGCAGCGCACGCGGAGGAACCGGGCTTGAACCCCGCAAAGCCCGATTCTCTCTTTTATCAATCTTGGCTCTTCCGGAAAGTTGTAGCCCATTCAGGTTCAGAATGTTTCCGAACGTACCGGGTGCATGTAAGCAACGGGAACCCGCTGCCTTCGGCACGGTCGCTCTTCCGTTGCCATCGCGGGACGTGCGACGTCCCTTTTGTTTGGTTTTAGGCACAAGCTCACCTTGTGAAACATTTATTTCAACTTCTACATTTGTCTACCGTTTTCCGTCTGTGACAGCGTTACGCGACAATTTATGACCAAAGCGAAGCTGCTTTAACGCGTAGCCAATTTGGTGGCTTCAGCTCCTTCCGTCTAGCTAGGAGGGAGCGGGGAATCTCACGGGCCAAACTAGGCATACGTAGATGTTTGACTCGCTCTACGCAATGATTACAATATGCGCTCAATGCCGAAAGACGACATCCTGAATTTATTTCCCGAGATTAGATGCTCACCTTTGGCCAGGATAAAGTCCGTGAACTTCTTGGACTTTGCGAAGGTCGCGCCTTCGGGTATGGGCGGCCCGAAGACAGGCACCTCCTTGGACCGGCTCACGGCCACGCTGAACAACACAGTGTGAAAGTCGTATCACAGACAAAGCCTTTTCAAAACTCCACTTAACAAAAAAAAGAAGAGAAGTTTTTTGAGAGGTGCTGGCTATCTATATTGCAAGATATTTCTTTGTTTATGACTATCACGTTCAATTAAAGCAACAGTTGAAACTCAAACATGTGGACCCTCAATTTCTTATAGGAGCAGCGTGCACACAGCACGTGACAGTTAGCACACATTGCACACGACTAGTTGCTTAGTTAATGTACCACAGAGGCACATTCCTCAACACTACTAGTCCTGGTCAGAGCCTTCTATGGCTGCAAAAGCAAAACCATGGAAAACATGGGAATGGCTCGATCATGCTATGTGTGCACTCCATTCATTGCTAAGCTGACAGTGCGACGGAAGCTACGTGCTTGCCGTACCAATGAACCACCTTCCTTTTGTCACCCGACCCCATCCCCTGTGTCTGGGTATGGGCGGGAGCGTAGTCATGTGGCGAATGATAGACGTACGACTTGTTCAACGAGCAAGCACGTAACTCCCACCGGGCTGTCGGCTTAGTAGTGAACGAAGTTTAACTGCTGTGCTCCGTACATAAAGATGACAATCTGTATGAAAAAAAACAAGAAAATCGTCGCTCTGAAACTTGATTCTCATCCAAATAGAGGCAACCTACCCCGACATTCACGAAAGAAGTGCGCATCCGCCCCTTACCTGTAGCGTGTCTTGTCCGAACAGGGTTCGATGGCCCTGACAATGATGAAGACGTGTTGGAAGTGTGACCGGATGTTCTTGGGGGTGAACGGAAGTGCCCTTGGCTCTTGGAACACCAGAGTCACAATGTCGTTGCCTATGTGCCTCTTGCGCAGAAGCTGCAAGCAAGCGCGCGAGCCAGGATCAAAACAACTCTCCCTGCAGAAACCTTCACTAGCGCAGGAATCAATCGTAAGGGATATGGCAAACAATAGGCCACGAAGAAGAGGAGGCGCGCACCTGTTGTTTGTTGCTCGGAGTATACGGAAGTAGAGTTGACACGTGAAACATGATCTCGCAGTCTTCGTAGGTGGAGTAGACGGAGTACAGACCCGTGGTGTCGGCTGGGAAAGGGCACGCCACCAACGAATAAATAAAAACGATGAAACAGGTTTGTTTGCAACAAAGATAGAAAATGAACAAACAGATGCTTCAACATTTCTGTTGCTTGCCCCTATTCATTCCATGCTTTTTTTCTTTGCCTAATTTAATATTAACAAGCTTAGTTTATGATCATGGTCTTAACAGAGAATGATGACTTTCGGTTGTACACCTCGTATTAAAAGCGTTACTTTTCGTGCAACCAATAAAATATAAAATAAAAAAAAAAGAGAACAGGTGGAGAACAGGTGGAGAACAGCGACGGGGAGACGCACAACATGGGCCGACACGACGACACTCAGCAGGTGCGACCTACTCTTGTTGTCGAGACCCGCCCTGTAGTTCTGGAAGCCCTTCAGCCGGACCCTGTGGCCCAACATCTCGAGGAACTCCTCGAATGCGGGACCAGCCATTTCTGCAAGAGGCAGGCGACAGGGGCTCAAACAACGGGCAACGAAAGGCTCGTGCAGAAAGCGAGAGTTAGACAGCTGCCTTACGACGACGCATGGGCAAAGTGGCACGCAGTTAGAGTGACAAACACACTATCCCAAGTCTTTCCTGAATTTTCCCAACCAGGCTGAAAGGCAGTCGTCAAAACTGCCTACCATATTTATTCTAAAGCAAGTCGACCTTTTTACGAGCAATGAATGCCTCGGCGTGTTTTTCTCTGCAATGCTCAAGAAGAGCCAATCGTTGCAATTTACGGAAGAGGCCCGGCGAATCCGGCGCTGGCCCGGCGCCGGCACCGGTAACAACAGACGCAGAAATCAAATCTGTGTGGATTGAATTTTTTGTATTCCAAATGTTATATCTGCTTTGCCATTCGCCAACTCCTTTCGTAAGTCTTAGTGATTGGTCTCCGTGGATTCTGTGGCAAATTAGACACACGGATCTTATCGTAAAAAAGCTGACCTTTTTTCGAATAAATATGGTTAAGCAAGGCAGCAGTATGGATGGTAATATTTCACATTTAATTCTGGCCTGCCAAAATAAAATAGAAACAAAAAAAGTGTCAATGCTGTGTTTTTCTTAACTGCATCGTACCAGATGCGTTTGGTCACAGTTGGCCCACGCGTGAGGTAGCCCCTCTGCATTTTGTACACATTTCGAGTGCCAAGCCAGAAAGCTAATGGACCCAAGTTCACACTCCAGAAACGTGCGTTTGATCATACCATTCGTTCCAGATGGCCCTTTGACATTAGAGGAAAAGGTAAGAGGCCAGAATTGGTGGCATCTGTGTCGAAGTAGTGCTAACCTGTGTTCTTACATAGGTAAGCTAAGAGGCACCCACCGTTGTTGTACATCTCTTCCTCTGTGGACTGCCCAGCCTTGCAGTACATCACGCCCACCTTGTAGGTCTTCATTAGCTGTAAGAGTGACTATGGTCATTCTCAATAACACACACACACTTTTATTTAGGGTAAACGTTTAGTACATGCCTTTTTCTTCACCACCTAGTCAAACCCACTTATAACGATCCCACATATAATGACCTATCGGTTATAACAACCAACTTTCAGAAAATATACGAATTCAAGGCCCTACCCGTTAAAATTGGTCCAGATAAAACGACAGTTTTTGAAAGCATCATACTGTTACAACGAACACAAAGTCAGCTTTCGAAAGAGAAAAAAAAAGAAAAAGAACTTCTGCACACAAAAAAAAGCAAAAAAAAAAAAAAAAAAGCAACATCTTGGGCGCGGCGAACCGCCAGATGCTTAAGGTCATTTTCACGGCATCACGGCAGGGGAGAAAACAAAACTACAAAAGCAAAAACGCCCTCCCGGGTCGCGCAGTCTGCTCATTGTGCATGCACGGGAAGGAGAAGAGGAGGAGAGAGTCAACTCTCATGCCGTGCTGCGTTCGTTCGTTCTCTGTATGCAACTCAAGAACAGCTCAATGCTCAGTACAAGTTGGCTAGCCCCGTCCAGTGTTGCCAGATTGGGCTATATATAGCCAAATTGGGCTACATTTTCTTCTACTTGGCGTCAAATGTTTGTGGTTAGCTATGTTGCTATTTTGGGTTATTTCTAAAAATGCGGCAAACTTCTGTCGAACCTCGAGTTCGATGCCAAACTTTTAAAATTTTCGAACTTCGAAAAAAAATTGTGTCTGTTTTGGCTAGTCGAGAGGAGAGAGAGGAAGGAGAAAGGCTTCAAACTTCTACAAACTTCGGTGTTTTCACAATGCGCAGTGAAGCAATGCTTGCAGAGTTCAAACGGTCTCCCTACAGTGCAGTGGAGCAAACCAAACAGATTGCACTATTATCACAGGCACGATAGCGTGCCTTCAACCCGGGCGCATATGGCTCTGCCGGGACGTACACTAAACTTCCCAAATGCTGCTTTGATGCCCATTGTGAGAATCCTTAGGCATCCAAGTTTGTAAAGATGAGAAGTCCGAAGTTTTACCGCGAAACAATTGACTACCTTCCAGTCGTTGACCACCCCAAGAAAGGACAACACAATCAAAAATAGCGTGAACATGAATGGGTGACACTAATATTCTTCGCAAAGAAAAAGAGAGGGGTGGGATACTGGTAAGGACCTGAGATATTGGGGTTTTGTTTGAAATACCCAGTGTTCTGACTGTTCTGCTTCTGTATTTTGTTCTTTTACTGTATGATCATATCTCCCGGGCTTCACAATAAAGCTGCTTGTGTTTTGTACTTCTGAAAACCTACGAAGGAAGGTCCAGTTTTGTACGGATTTTCATTCTTTCTAAGCTTTTCTTGAAAAATTCACAAGTAACATAATGTACACAAAAGTCGGTGCATCTGAGGGTTGAAACAGATTGTAATGTGTATTGTATGAGTGTGAGAAATTGTCAATATAAGGCTTAAAAATCATTGTTTTTAGTCATGGCTATTTTGGGCTATATTTTTTTTACGGCTTTGGCTATATCTGGGCTATACCTCCCAGTCGTTTGGCGGTTTTTTGGTGGGACCATCTGGCAACACTGGCCCCATCACGATTGTGACGGTTTGTTTACGTTCACCATTTTGGTATCATGCATATTCTCTCGCGTCTACGAAGTCGTGTCTGTCGTTTTAAGACGGAGAAAACAAAAATCCACCAAGAGGCTTTATTTAAACGAAAGGGCATCACGCTGGCGGAAAAAGATGACAACGGAGCAGCACTGCATGGCCTCGCAATCCCAGCCACCCGACGAGCTCGCAAAGTGTTGTTTGAAAGACGACGCTGCCAGAGGCGACAGCTGCGCACTTGTACATGTGCAGGAAGCGCGGCACTTAAAACGCTTTAGACCAAAGCAAGTATTAATTATCTCCGAGGACAGTAAAGAACCATCGTCGGACTAGTGCACGGCATTTATTTTGTGGTGGCGTGCGTTCATAAAATCTGTTCTCTGAGGTATGGGGTCAATCTTCATTATTTTACTTGCGCGGCAAAATCGGTAGCAATTTAACTTTAATTTATCTGAAAGCTAAATCTGCAATAGCGTTAGAATTGGGGGCCCGTTAGAATCGTGCAAACAGTTTCATTAAATAAAGAGCTGGCAGAGTGAAACTACCAATATACTAGCTTCATTATCCTTATTTATAATGTTTTAAACCACTTTTCGCGGAACAATCACTCTCGTTATAAGTGGGTTTGACTGCACATCATGGGGGCATGATGGAAGAAGCATCCTTGCACCCCAGAAAACATAGTTTGAAAAGAATGAAGAGGACGTTGAAGTGAAGGAGAAATTGTTGGTAGAAAGTTGTCAATCTCATTTAAATCAGAGAACATCAACAGGGAGAGTTTGCAAGTTTGTACGACAGGAAAGCCCTTTTACTGTCTTTAAATGGCAGGGTGTCCTGCAAATAAAAAAATTTCCTGGTGTACTTAGATCTATCGACCGAACAGTCATTTGCAGAATTATGTTTTACGAGCAATGCAGCGGTACAGTTGAGCCTTCCAGGCACGCGACACCATGTCTAGCATTGCCACATTCTCCTTTTGTTACAAGAAATATGTCACGGGTTCAAGGCGTGCGGACATCAATGAACTTCTTGACCATAAAATAGCTTGTCTGGATTTTTAAAACCCGTGGCTGTGGTCAAAGAAAAAGAGGAAACTTTGACGACGAAGAAAAAACTTTGAAGTATTCGACTTCAAAGTTTCCTATCTTACCTTCAGCACAGTCTCGGGCTTTAAACATCAACATTAACTAACACCAGCTCGCCTGCACACTCACTGTCTTTTTCGTAAAATAGGGCTTTCTCATAAACAAACATTCTTCGCGGAACGGGCTAACGCGTTACAGAGACCGAAATTCGGGCTCAGCACACGAGAAAAGAAGACCCGACGCTCAAAGGGTCAGCGAAAAGTGAGAAACGCCCGGCCGCCGCTCACCCCCTGCTCGTCGAGCTTCAGCAGCTGCTGCTCCGTGGCGGGGCCCGGGAGGGCGAGCCGCAGGCAGGAGCCCTGCAGCTCCGGAGCGGCCAGCTCCAGCAACTCCCGCACGGGCAGTCCCCCGCTGCCGGCTCCCAGGCGCCCATTGCTTGCCTGGCCCAGGGAGTCCTCCGCCAGGCTGCAACGCAGCACCGCCAGCTGCGGAGCGGGACGTCGGGCGTAAGAGTGGGCGCTGGCTCGTACGACACTCGTACCCAATCGTCGGGTGGAAGTCAAAGAATCACGTTTGAGGACGCGGTAAAATAATCCAGTCAGAGGTACGTTCCAGGCAGCGTGGCGGACTACCTGGGACAGAACACTGGTGAGGGGGACGGAGACCACGCAGATAACTTCAAAGGTGCTGTTCGCAAAATTTTTTTGACTTCGGTCAAATAATTCTGAGAGTTCTTCCCAGTCATGTCTGGAGTAAAAAAATGAAAACCAATTTTGCCAGCGTGCGTTATACAGTCAAACCTCGATGTAACAAACTTCTAAGTAACGAAACCCTCGATGTAACGAAGTGCATAACTTTTTCTAACTGCGAGTGTATGCACGCCATGTATTTTTGACCTCCATGTAACGAAGTCCTGTTCACCAAAATTTCTATGTAACAAAATTTCATGGTCAATTTGTCACAAACTTTCGGGTCCCAAAGGAGATTTTGGAAAGCACATGCGCTGAAATGGACCCCCAAAAAGCGCAAAGGGTGAGAAGGGCCGAATCTGGCGAGTGCGGTGTACAGAACGGCTACTAGAGGACACGAGAGCCGTCGCCGTTCCATCCGTCGGCTTCGTGTTCGCTGTGTAGTTCGTTTCGCGGCCTAAGTAAAAGCATGCGTTTCTCATTGTCCTGAGAGATGGAGCTTTGAAGGCGAAGGAGACGCCCCTGACAACGTCGACCTCGACGACTTTCTATATGTCGACTCTGCTGCCATTGCGACGGAGGAGGTGACCGACGAGGCGATAGCTAGCGATGTTCGTGGGAACTCGCAAGACGGGGACGACAGGAGCCTGATGAGCAAGACACCTGCGATGTGCCCAGTAACCGTGAGGTGGTGGACGCGATCAATGTCTTGAGGCGGTTCGCGATCAGACAGCAAGACGAAGACGCGATGCAGGCCGTCTGGCTATGCGAACGTCGCGAGATGCCAATAATAACGCCAAGAGTGGCCCAGAAAAAGGTGACAGACTCTTTCAACCGAAATAGAGACGTTCTCGGTGCGTTTTGTGCACCCAAGAAACATTTGACGTTAGCCTCGAATTTCTATGTAGCGAAATTTCAATGTAACGAAGTAAATTCCGAATTTTACCGACTTCGTTACATTGAGCTTTGACTGTAGTTGTTTTGTGTTTTTTTTTTTAATTGTCAAACGATCGAAGTTTTGGTTGCCTCCCTCCCAGCTTCTCTCAACTCTTACAACGGTACTGAGTCAAGTGCACAGTGATATGTAGCAGGGTGGGAACACAGAGTATCCAGTTATTTCCTCTTTCAGAGCCTTCAGAGCACGCTGCCTCTGCTTGCAATTGTCAACACACATGGCAACCTTGAAGGTTGCCCAGTCGGAATGATGTCGTATTGACAGGGCAACGCTACTAGAACAACTCAGTTGGGAAGCTACCATAAGAGCCTGCTTTGAAGGGGCCCTGCAATCATATTTAAGCGCCTACCTTTCTAGCGACTTCCACGGCTCTTGAGGTTTGGGAAAGCCATCGGACACGGAGAGAGTAACTAAATATCAGTGCATCATATTTTAACCGGACGACGTGGAAACCTACTCCACCGACGGGGGTGACCCGCGGTACCGAAAGCGCGCGATATGTGACATCTTCGGTCCCACTAAAAGCCTCTTTTTAGTCGAAATACAAAATATAAGTGGCGCGAACCGTTTGAATTGTTTATAAAAGTAGTTTTTGTTCAGTATTTCAGATCAGAAAAAAAACAAATGCAGTTTATAAAATACAGAAACAAGAGATGACCCGTCGACATACCCGCCACCAAGCGGTGGAAAAAGCGGCGCATACTAGAAAGGAGTAGTGGGATCAGGCGCCGACACGGAAAGGTCCCGGATGTACGCTGCAGCACTGTGGTCGTATGGACTGGAAAATCCGACCGGCTCCGAGCGTTCCCAAGGCCTTCGGCGAGCAGCTTTGTCGTGCGGTTTGGCCATTTCGCGGTATGGCAGCGCGAAGTGGCTCCCATTCTGAACTGATCTTTACCCCGTGTTTGCTGTCGTTTGTGGCCAATGAAGTGTCATGCCGAATTAGCGTTTAATCGTGCAGCAAATGCAATGAGAGCCGGTCTGGCTGCCCGCTGGATACAGCCTATCCAGAACATGCTTTAGTGGCGCCCTCTCGCGCCGTCGACACGGAGTGCGGCAGCTGTGGGCGCTCGCTAAGCTCACTACCCCTCCTCTAGTTCACGGCCACTCAAGCAACCAAGGACGTCATGAAGGAGGTTAATTTTTGCTTGTTTTTGTAATTTTAATTTGCCTATAACTTTAAAAATAAAGCGAAAATCGAGAAAAGAAAAGTTTTATTAAGTCACTACGTTCAGTGTGCTCAGGTTCGGTGCAAATTAAAAACCAGTAAAAAAGCCCTTGCAGGGCCCCTTTAAAAAGTGGTACTCGAGAACCAAACTAATGGCGATTGCAATGCCGCCGTTTTTCCCGCGACGGCCACTCCGGCAACTGCTTGGCTGCATGTACTGGTTCAGGTCGATTTGCGCAAGGGCCGGTGGCACCTTCTCGCAGTGCCGTTTCGCCGCAGTTACATAAATGAACTTTCATATTTTGATTCCTCACTAAAGGGCGGCACTGTTATCATATTTAGTTTGGTCTCAATGGACACGAGCGGTTCGGGTTTCAAGGCTGAGTTTCCCAACTGAGTGTTTTAGTGACGATGTGACAGGGTGAAACTCGAGAGAGGAATGGTTTTGTTCGTCTTGTGCAGATGGCGCCACTAAAGCTGCATGTAGTACAATTTTGTTGAAGGTATGAAGCTTTTAACACTCTTACTCATGCTGAAACGACAATATTTATAAAAGAATAGCCTCAGATTGAGCATGCAATTGCACATCTTGCCGACTCATTAGATTGTGCCCAGCCGGGCATCACACCTTAGTTCCCATGGCTGCCACCTCGTGGCTCCAAATGGCTGAATATTCCTGTTGTTTGCTTTGCAGTTACGCTACGGAATAGCAATATTTCAAAGTTACGCAACAGAATAGCAATATTTCAAAAGAATGAGGCGGGTTTCTCCACATCTTTTGGTAAGATAAACAATGTAAAAATTAAAAACTCTACATTTTTTCGATGCCATTATTGTTGCATCGTCCCATTCAAGCAAGTTTTGGCAAAAAATTGTTGCATTTCTACTCAATTTTAATTAAAGAAACAACATAATGACTCACAAAAACTAGCCAAGTTCAGTAACGCAGCCAAGTTCGGACCATAAACACAATCTGTGTTGAAAAGTTTAGATCTTCTATAAATTTTAATCTTTGAACTTCCATCTTCAGCTTTTCATCTTTATCAGAATAGCACATGCAAAGTCACTTAAAGTGCAACTCTGCAAATGATTTATGTGCAGTAGGGTGTTTTCAAGTGCAACTCTAAGCACCAGGTATTACCGTTCCACTTAGGATAAGTTCCATTAAAAAAAGCTTCGACTCAGCAGAAGTTTAAATTAGCAAAAGTTCACTCAGCAGAAGACAAAAAAAAACGACCACTCTAAAGACGTGAGGACCCAAACAAACGTTTTTCAATGCTCCAATAATCTAAGACATTCCACCTATCATAGTTTCACATAAGGCAAATCAACTGTACCACATTCACTCCCACATGTGCAGCAAGAAGGTTCACAGGAACCTTGTAAGCGCAAACAGAGACAGAGACGAACAAGGGGACACAGAAAAGGGCCGAGTAAAGTCTGCACATTTTTACCAAATTTCATTATAACCTTTCTCGTGTCTGCCTTTGTTTACAACTAGGAGTTCTCTAATCGTCATACACCAACTAGCTTAAAAACTTCGAGAATGCATGGCAGCACTCAAAGACAAGAACAAAAGGAAGGGAACTGGACAGCACTGTGCACACAGTGGTGTCCAGCTCTCCACCTTTTGTCCTCGCTTCGAGCTCTACCACATATGCTCAAATTCGGCACCAGCTTGCCCAACTATCAGCACCATTCAGCCCAAAAACAACAATTCTCGTTAAAGGTAATTCAAACCCACCCCGAGATTTTGCAAATTTTGAAAACTTGCCTCGCTGGTGCGCACGATGACCCTGTAGAGCGCCTGGTGTTGCGCCCCAGGAGCAGACCTTGAGTTCGGGCCATCCGGCCGCTCCTTGCGTAAGCTCACGGCCACAGGGCCTAGCCGCTCGTCCAGACCGAACCAGTTCTGGTGACCTGGGCATCGCAGAAGACGGACAGCCTCAGGTCAGTGGCATCGAGAGAAAGCAGGGCTCTCCAGACCAGATTTTCTTAAATTTCTCGATCATGAGGGGCCCCTAAATGCACCGAACGGCACTTAAAGGGACACTGACACCCCCCAAAAAATTTATTTTTATTTTTTGCCAGGCGCTTCATTATGGTGTCGGAGGACTGCCTAATTAATATTTTGCAACAGAGTAGCGTATTTTTTTAATAAAGCCAAAAGACGCAACTGCTCGAAACCCGAAACCGAAACCCGACAGAGGTCGGAGAAGTGGAGAGAAGAGAGCGAGTGGCGGAAGTCACATGGCTACACCCGACCGTGCGTTTTTTTTTCTTTTTTTTTTTTCTCCTTTTTGTAGCAGACGACACGACATGCGGCGTGCGGGAACTGCTCGCCGTGCGATTACTTGCAGTTATGTTTGTTCCGCTCGTTGTTCTGTACTCCAAGATGAGTTGTTTTGTACATTGAGGAGTTGGAGATGAGTAGTGAGTGCCCTTGGTGAATTTCCTTGATCGGCTCCGAAAAGAATACGCCCAAGATGTTGCGTGAAGAGCTGGCTCATATGTCCTGCATCCGAAAAAAAGTGGCATTGTGCGACAGAGTTTCCGAAAGATCAACGGGATCGGGACCAATGGCTGGCTGCAATTCCTGCAAAACAGTTATGGGCACCTCGGAAAGCGGATGCTACCCGATTTATATGCTCCTTGCATTTTGTGGAAAGTGATTACATGGAGTTCGGAGGTGTCAAAACGGAAATCCCATACCATTTATTTCAGCGAAGTACCGCCCACAACATTTGTTTGTTATTTTTTTGTTTTGTTTCTTCAGTGATGATTGTAAAAAAAAGAAAAAGATATGTAAACATCGAAAAATGTTTGAAAAAAAAAAAAAAAAAAGTTCCACGGGGGATTGAACCCGGTCCTACCGCGTGTGAACCGGACGTCTTTCCCACTGAGCTACTGCAGCATTTCTTCAAAGGTGGATCTCTTTCCTTAGTAATAATTCAGCCGGTAACTAAGTTAAAAAGCTTGCTGTCGATTTTTCTCTAGAAAAAGCACTCCCTGGTCGAAGTCGGGAAGCACCACGCATTGGGGACATTCGCACCTAGTGAAGAAATCGTACGCGTGCATATTCAACTCGAAGTAGACACGTCGTGCTTGACGTTTGCGCGAGCGATGTCTTCAGCCACGAGAAGGGAGCGACGGCTCGGCGACGTCTTCGTGCAAATCGGCTTGGTGGCCGGCCGTGTCGTACGGGATGAATACCAATTCTTTTGATCAGTCCCAAATTTCTCTTTTAACGGTCGACAGAATTCGCCGGTACCGCGAACGACAGTTCTGAAATAGAGGTCCCACGCCCGTCGTCCGCTGCCATCGCCGTCTCCGCGAGTCCCACGGTACGCGAAACGACGAACGCACAGAATGCTTCCGGTTGTCTGTGGAACTTTTTTTTTCAATCAACGTATTTACAGCTTTTTAGAAGCCACTAAAAATGGGGTTCATATTTTTTTCTATTTTTAATATTGAGTGTGTGCCTTCAGTGACCTACGACTTTGATTAAATTTGGTGGTCGCATCGATACCTTAGAAAACGGCCCGTGACCGCGAAAAAGAGAGTGAGCGAGACTCGAACCGGCCAGTTCTTGATCGGCGGTTTTCGGGTGGAAAGAAACCGAATTTCGAGCCGCAAATTCTGTTCTGGGTAGTTGAGCTCTCATATGTCACGTACAACTAAAAACTTCGGCGATCATAAATACCCTGTCAGTGTCCCTTTAAGGAACCCCTCTTAGTCTCAACACTGAAGTAACAAAACAGTGCGGAAGCTTACGGACCTCGCAAACCACTCATGAACATATTATGCTTCGTTTCACCGTAACTTGGCAAATGGTGAAGGCTACGGTGTCAGTGAGCCAATCAGCGTGTCGGAAGGCGCTGCGTGACTACTCTATCTCGCCAGTTATTTTGCAGTGCTGTCGAGGTCATTGGCAGGAGAGAGAAGAGAGCCGCTTCTGTACGAATTTTGAGTGACGGGCTAATCTCCGAGGGGTACAAGAGCAGTATCTGGGACGCACAAGAGAGGGTCTGGGTAAGGGCAAAGTTCCTCCTTCCCCTCTTTTCTTACTGCTTGGGCTACGCCCTTGCCCCCGTGCCCTTGGTAAGGGCCGTCATGTGCTTTGCCTCTGTCACTCTGATTAGCTCAATGGTTTTCAACCACTGATGCTTCAGGGTCCCCTTGTGGATAGGCGGAAGTGATGGGGGACCCCATCCACCAGGAGGGAGGGGAGGGTATTGGATGATTACAATTACAAAGCAACTTTCAAAATTTCAAACAAAGAATAAGTTGCCAAGTTACAGTGAAACAAAGTATAGAGAGTGTTTGCCTGATAGGCACGAATGGGTGGCTCAGATCTGGTAGAAGAGTACTTAAACCGGAAACACGCTTACTTAGGGGTGGAGGCAGTTGAGGAAATTTGAAAGCTCAGAAGGGCGCTTTAGGAGAGCCCCCGACTTCCAAGGAACCCAGTTTCAGAACCCACGCTATAAAGAATCCTCAAATCGTCCGAGCCTACATCTTCGCGAGCACCCACCTTTCCCATGGAAGTGCGTCCTGTAGTAGAGTGCCCCTCGGTCCACGCCTTCAAGAAGCGTCGGGGGACGCTGGTAGGGACACGCCCCCTCCTCCGCGCCGGCGCGCTCTAGCACCGCCACGCCACACATCGCCGCAGGCCTATGCCAGGGCCCCGGCATCACACCGCCGCGATGCGAGCCGCCGTGCTGCGGAAGACTCCTGGATGTTGCCCTGCTCAGCCCCAGCGCCCTCTGGGGCTCTCCACCGACCTCGTTGCGGAAGAACGGGCAGCTCAGCAGCAGCGCGCTCTGCCGGCCATCGCCGACATCCGGCACCCCCTCTGTACCCTCACCACGGGCGCTACGCTGCGCCATCGACGCCGCCGAAGCCCCCGTCGTTGTGTTCCGCCGCCGGCCAAGCAACGACGCGAGGCGTCCCGACGTGCGGCTCAAATTGGCTCCCAAACTCTGGCAGTCGTGGTGTGCGAGCGCGCGCCTCCGGATCCGTTCTTCCGCGGGATCCGGAAGGAGCACAGCGGCGGCCGCCGCGGCAGCCGCTGCGGAGGCATCCGCGCTTCCGGCCCGCACGTCCGTGGACTCGCTGCGTCCGCCGGGCTTCCACTTGCGGAAGAGCGAGCTCTCCTGCCCGCCGGGAAGACGGCTCCAACCCTTCCCGCGGTCGCGGAGCTCCAGGAGCCTCTGGAACTTGGTCTTCAGGCGCGGACTCGAGGCCTCGTCGACCGCGCCGTGCGCGAGCGCATTAGAAGCGTTCTGGAGTGCAGGCGCCGGGTCTAGGCGTCCACGGAGGAACTCGTGGATGTTGGCCGGTCCGGGGCTGCGCTGGTCCCGCGGGTCCTCACGCTTGCCGGCGCGGTACTCGCGGAGCATGGCAAAAAAGCTGCCGTCACCCGCGGAAGCCGCGAGGAGGTCGAGGGAGGAAGCGGAGCCGTAGTCGCGCCGCACGGGACCGCGGAGGCCGGGCTGCTCGCAGCCGTGCTCCAGGTCCAGGCTGCTGTTGCTCCGGTACAGACTCATCCTGGGAGCGGTAATGACAGATGCAACGATCAGCAACCGAACTACTCATCCTTAAAACTGGAAGGGACACTGCACACTCGAGTGATCAGTCTTGCCCAGACTCGCTGCGGGATTCTGCCGAACCAGATGTCTGGCAACGACAGACTCGGAATATAAATAATGGGAAGAACATAACACACAGGGACGGACAAGACGATTTTCAAAAGGCAGCAGACGTCTGCTGCCAGGTGGAAATCACCCTGTCCGTTCCTGCATTTTATGTTGATCCCATTATTCATATTGTCCTTATCACCATGCTCTCCATTTCAAGCATAGACCCAGATTGCCAGTTTTGGTACTAGGGAGTAATAACTTAAAAAAATGTCAATAACCAAAGGTTTACAGTTTCTATAAAGCCCTGAAAGGGAATTGTTTGTCACAACTTGATATTAAGAATAGTAGTTTATTTCTTGAGCACAACTCAGCTCACTTACACCTATCACCTTCCCCCTTCGATAAAAAGAAAAAAAAAGAGGACTAAAAGGGAGCAGTGTTCTGATCAAGAAATAAATGGTGTCCTTGATTGATATTTTTCTTGTTATTACAACAGGACGTAAGCCCACGAAGTTTAAAGCTGATTCAATTCAGTAATTGGCAAAAGCAAAAGAATTACGCAGAACCCAACAATAGCTGGACCCGCGGCATCTGTTCCAGGGCCATCCGATTGACGATGCCAGCGCTTCCTTTCGCCGTAAGTGATCACGTGCAGTTTGCGACGCAGCCGATCACACTCAAGCGCAAATGTGTGGACAAACCTTTACGGCGCTACCTCAACATCCCAACGGAACATGATCCCCCACAGTGTAGTTAGAAAAACTGCCTCTGGGGGCTACACCCAATCCCCACAGCTTGCCTGGAGGTACGCTGGGCCGACGAACGCTCGCTGTGAGTCCTGTGGGGCCTGTCCGGGGCGGGGGGCCTCCTCGCGGGGGCGGGGCTCGCAGCGGCGGCGGCGGCGCAGCCGTTGAGTTGGCTCGTTGACCCACTCCTACGCAGGCCTTCGGGCAGGCAGGAAGTGTAGTAGTGCGCGGTGCAGGCGCGCAGGACGCTCGAGCTGAGGGCGGGCCCCAGAGGGGCGTCAGGATCCAAGGCCCCGCCCCCTTGCTGCGGGGGGCTGGCCCCCGGGCCACGCCCCCTCTGCCCCGCCCACCCCCACTGCTCCACCTGCGGGCAAAGACGAAAGGGCGAGGCGTAAGAAAGGGCTCGACGACGATTGGTGAAGTCTTTGCCAAAATTAGCGGAAGTATCGGAGTATTGCAACAGGAGCCATTTCGAAAAGAGGCACTGACACGTCAAAAAATCATTCCTTCTGGTGCGAAACACTACATAAAACACGGACTATGTCTTTTTGCCTTCTTGCCGCAGTTGCATATTTGTTGATAAAAAGAAACGGAGCGCCATCCTCAGTGTAGGGGGATTCTGATGTCAGAACGTAGGGGAGTAGCAGAGAGTAACCCTCCACAACTCCAGTGGTCAAAGTTTCTTTAGATCGACAGGTTTGTGGTGTTATGGCGATGATGAAAGGTGTTTTGCAAATTGCACTGCTTTTGATTATGAATACATGCCTTAGAGGGCCTCTCAGAAATATTTTTGGCTCAGAGTTATCACAGTGCACAACAAGAAAAAGGGAAGGAAGAAAAGCAGTTCTGAACACCCAATTCGCAACCAGTGTTCTCCGTGCAAGAAGAAACAGATTTCGAGCTGCAGTCACTATATTTTCTGGCCTGTAAGTAGCTGTCACCTATAAACTGCCTATTTCCTAAAAATAAAAGGTGGCGCATCGGTAAGTCACATCTTTTGTATAAGTCCCACTTTTTTGTAGAATTGGTGGGGTGAAACTGCATTGATTAATAAGTCTGCATATGTGTAGTGTGATTCTGATATATATGCGCAAGCGGGAGCCAGTTTCGACATTCTTACCAACAAATCAAATGAGAAATATAACCCAGTGTCAAATTTGCGCTTAAGACATGGAGTACTAAAAAGACAGACATAAGTCACACCGTTGTATAAGACACACTGACGAAAATTTTGAACGCAGTTTTTCCGAGTTTTGGGCCCTTACAGATTGTGTTTCAGTAAGAAGTGAAGCAAGCATACATACACTGTCGGTGTCCCTTTAATGCAGACTTAACTTTACCCGCTTCGGTAAAACAAATTTTACATTTCGTAGAATAAGGTACGTAGCGCGACACACACAATACAAAAACATGAACCGCATTTTCCCTTTATTTTTGTAGCGGAAAGGTTACCAACAACACTATTAGTGGGGTGGAATGGGCCTATATCAGACCCTTATTTAGGCAGTCAAATTTAGTGGTCGACAGATGACCTTTTCGAGTAAATTGTGAAAAAGCTGCAATATCATGTTTGGCCTAACTCTGTCATACAGTGTACAGCTAATGTAGAAATAATGTCTTCAAAGTAAACAGGACCGCAAATACAGGCAACTCGACGAAGAAGAAAGTACAATGGTTAATACAAAGGCAAAAGAATAGAAACACACAATGCACTACTCTATCTATAGCAGGGGTGGCCAGGCTGACCGGGCCTAAGGGCCGCAAGCAAAATCACAAAACTTCCAAGAGCCGCGGGAGGGGCTAGAGCAATAAACGAAACTCGAACTACTTTCAATGTATCCGAATCAAAAGCAGTCCAACTGTACGTAAGGTAGCAGTAGCACATGACTACGAAACTGCTACCTGTCTTTCAATTTAGAATGCGTTCCATTTCTCTTTTTGGGGAAGTGCTCGTGTGACCCAGAGCCGTAAATGTAGAGAGTTTGGCCATTCGTTGGGAAGTAAGGAGACAAATGAGGAGGCACTATTCGCCGAAAGGGGGCTGGGCGTGTTCCAGGGCGTCTTCACAAATTCGAATGTGACGAACCAGAAGCCGGAAATAATACCCTGGCGGTGGTCGCGAGAGACAAACCTGATAAGTGCATCGGAGTAACTCTCGGTGACCGAAAATATGGTACACGTGATGTTTCAATCATGCTCATCCAAAATGATGGTGGAAGAGTGCGACTAGCGGAACGATCGACATAATCTTTGGAAAAATATTTGACTCCAACCAAAAATTAATTAAACTCGGACCCAACGTTTCAAAACCAGTTCGGTTTCTTCTTCAGGGGCGATTGATCTCGTGCGTGGGAGCAGCCTCGTCTTCTTTGGTGATACGAATATTTTTTAATCGCGCTTCCGCCTTGCCATCCAGTCTTTTTCTAATCACGTGTCGTAGTCCGCTCACATAAACAGATGGTAAGGTACCCATAGATCTATTGATATTTCCTGGTGTATTTTGGATGTGCCATGATTCAAGGTGATGTCTTTTTCGGAGATTGGTTTCAACATCAAGAACGGACGCGTTCGCGAAGTCTATCGGATGGTCAAAGGTGTCACAGTGCTCCGCAAGAGCACTGCGTTCTCGATCGAATTTGCGTACATCGTTCTTGTGCTGGCGTAACCTTTCCATGAAGTTCTTTGTTTCGCCGATATAAGATGCAGGACATTTTAAGCAGGGGATCCGGTAAACAATTCCCGGTGCTTTTTCCTTCGGGGGGCGATCTTTTGGTCTTGGCATGAACCGTCCAAGAGTGGATACCGGTTTGTGAGCCACGTGAATGCCTTGTTTTGCTAGCACCCGTGATAGCGCTTCGCTAGTACCTTGAACGTAGGGAACGCTGATGCGCGTGATGGGGGGATGCGGCGCAGCTCCCTTTGGTTGTGGGTTTTGGCGAGCGTGAACCGTACGTTTGGTGACTTGTCGAGAGTGGATACACAAGAGTGGATACCGGTTTGTGAGCATTCACGTGGCTCACAAACCGGTATCCACTCTTGGACGGTTCATGCCAAGACCAAAAGATCGCCCCCCGAAGGAAAAAGCACCGGGAATTGTTTACCGGATCCCCTGCTTAAAATGTCCTGCATCTTATATCGGCGAAACAAAGAACTTCATGGAAAGGTTACGCCAGCACAAGAACGATGTACGCAAATTCGATCGAGAACGCAGTGCTCTTGCGGAGCACTGTGACACCTTTGACCATCCGATAGACTTCGCGAACGCGTCCGTTCTTGATGTTGAAACCAATCTCCGAAAAAGACATCACCTTGAATCATGGCACATCCAAAATACACCAGGAAATATCAATAGATCTATGGGTACCTTACCATCTGTTTATGTGAGCGGACTACGACACGTGATTAGAAAAAGACTGGATGGCAAGGCGGAAGCGCGATTAAAAAATATTCGTATCACCAAAGAAGACGAGGCTGCTCCCACGCACGAGATCAATCGCCCCTGAAGAAGAAACCGAACTGGTTTTGAAACGTTGGGTCCGAGTTTAATTAATTTTTGGTTGGAGTCAAATATTTTTCCATTATCACTTCCCAACCAGACAGACGTCTGTCGAACATGTTTACCTTCAAGACATAATCTTTACGCCAAGCGCCGAGGGCTGGGAACGTGCCGTCCGAGCGGTCACACTCTGTCCGAGCAAAACAGAGTTGAACGGCGCATTCGTTTCTTACATCTTTCTGCATGATATGATCAAAACATCACGTGCACTCAATTTTCAATCACGAAGAGTTACTACACCTCACACCTACGCGCCTATTAAAACCATAAACGAACATATACCTTTGATCCGAACTGTTTCTCGCTACCACCGCTAGGGGATTCTTTTCGGCTTCTGGTTGGTCAAGAGAGCATGCCAAGCCCTCTTTCCGAGTCTGGCGCACGCCCTGGCTCTGCCCTCGAGCCGCGAGCCGCACTTCGAAACGCAAAGAGCCGCAGCTTGGCCACCCGTGATCTATAGTAACTAGGGGGATCGGTGGCCGATTGGGCTGGTACACACCAGCTTGGAGCATGTGGAGCGAAAGCTCACGCTGCAGAACCCAGGGATCCTGGGTTCAAACCCAACCCTTGTCCGCTTCAATCTGGATGAGCATCATACCGGCGTGTAATCGTGTATCACTGCTGCATGGTGCATGTTAAAGCCCCACACTAGCGATTGTACTGCACGGGCTAAATTTCTCATCTACAGCTGGGAGACAAGCCGCTTGTTGAGGCAGACCAAGTTCTACGCTGTATAAACATATACACACCTCAATCTTTTTTCCTATAGTAACTACGTAGAAATAATGGATTCCACAAGCCTGCGACAAGTTTGCAAAATTCATTTTGTTTTGTCACAGCAATTGTCCTGTCCCTTGCATTTTTTATTTTATTTCGTTTCAAAATCCACTTTGACGACACAGTTGTTCCATTCGTACAATAGTCATTGTACTTCCCTCTAAGAAATACAAAGCAACTTTGGTCCAAGTAATGTAGAAGTACAGACTTTTGACATGCGGTTTTGAGTTAAATGTAAACACTCAACTTACACAAAGTAAAACATTGACTCCATGGATGTTGTCAGGGTCAGCACAGCAGCATGAACGCGCCGTTTTGTACTGCCTCGTAACCATCGACTGCAGGAGTAATTAACTGCGACAGAGTTGGTAGCGCCAAACAACTGGTGACAAAAGCGTTGAGTGTGGGGCCTGAGAGTTTTTATTAGAGAGGCCTGGATGCGCTCATTAACCAGCTCTCGAGGGCAATTGAGAAAGCATTAATGGCCATTGCTTCTCTTCTTATTCATTGTACACTGTGGCAGCGAGTGCGTCACTAAGCTGCCCAAAGAAACATTTTGTCTAAAGTGGGGATCATTAAGATAAGTAGAGGCCTTTTGACCAGCTAAATGCTTCAAGCCCTCCTCGCTACGAGCCGAGTATGTTTTCGGTGTTCCCGGAATAGAACAATGTACCGTTAAGCACTGTTTATAAACGTCATTTACATTTTGCCTCCCTCCCAATTTGCCTTTTTTTTTTATAACAATTTTGTTTTATTTTGTTTGTTACAGACAAAGTAGACCACTGCAGGTAGCATTTTTCACATTTTAATACCTTCTGAAATCACTGCTGCTTTATAAATAAATATTGATTCATTCCAAAAAAAGTCAAAGTTATCAAAAACCAAAAAGAATTTAATAAAGCTATTGCAAGGGCCAGAGAAACAAATATTAGCAACACATTTATGCACCCAATATACTTCACCATGCAAACCTGCATTGCACAAGTTTGCAGTCATTTCCCTGAAGGGTGTCGTCTTTAACAACTGATGTC